AATAAAATCCCTATCTGTTTTACCCACTCATCAGTTGGTGTGAATTTGGGTTGTTTCCAAGATTTAGCTATTAAAAACTCTGCTGTTATAAATATGGGTATGCATATCACCGTGGTATGATTTTTTAAATTCTTCAAAGGAAGATACCCGGATGAGGAATAACTGGGTCAAATGGAGCTTCTAATCCTAATTTTTTGAGGAATCTCCATGCTGATTTTCACAGTGGTTGTACCAGTCTATACTTCCACCAACACTGGAGAAGGGTCTCTTTTTCTCCACAGCTCTGCCATCATTTGTTACTGATTGATTTCTTGATGATACCTATTCTTTCTGGAGTGAGATGGAAACTCAGCATTGTTTTCATTTGCATCTTTCTAATGACCAGTGATACTGCGCATTTTTCCATATATTTATTTACCATTTGTGTTTCTTCATCTGAGAAGTGCGTATTCATCTCAGATGCCTATTTTTTGATTGGGTCTTTAAATTTGGGTTGATGTAACTTATTTTCAATTCTTTATATGTTCTAGATATTAATTCTTTGTCTGAGGGATAGTTGGTTAAATTTTTTTCCCAGTCTGTGGGTTGTCTTTGCACTCTCTTGATGGTTTCTTTCACTGTGCAAAGGCTTTTTAATATGATGAGATCCCAGTTGTTGATTCTTCATATTATTTCCCATGCAATCAGAACTTTGTTCATGAAGTCTCTGCCTATAGATATGTCTTCCAGATTTCTACCTGCTTTCTCTTCCTGTAGATTTAGTGTTTTTGTTTTAATATTTAGACCTTTGATCCATTGTGACTTTAGTTTAATGCATAGTGATAGACGTGGGTCTAATTTTAGTATTGGGCATGTGGAAAGCCAGTTTTTCTGACACCATTTATTAAAGAGGCTATCTTTCTTTCAGCGACAGTGTTTGGCTTCTTCATGGCAGCCAGGAAATTAAAAATATGTTACAGGAACAAAGACAAGGATAAGAACAGATTTCTTGTCAGAAACAAAGTGAAGAGACAATGGCAAAACGTTATGAAAGAACTGAAAGAAAAATTGTCAACCTAGAATGCTACACCCTGCAAAAATACCACCCCAAACACAGTAAAAATAAAAAATGTTTTCCATACACACAAAAGCCAAGGAATTCACCACTAGCCAGTTGCACTAACTGTCATGTGACTGGAAGGCTTTCAGAGGGAAGGGATTGTAATAGATGTCATTCCAGAACTTCACAAAGGAATGGAGAGCAGCAGGAATTATAACTACATGGATAAGTAGATCAAAAATTTTGTGTTATTTAAATCTCTTTAAAAGATAGTTAACTCTTTAAATAATGGTAATAATGTAGAGTGGGATTTATGTAAAGTAAAATGTTTGCTAAAAATGGCACAGAGTTTGGAAGGAAGAAATGAAAATATATTACTGTGAAGTTTTTCTGTTTCAGGATGGTGGGAATCAGTGAGTTGCTTGTGCTACCCTTGAAAATTATATCACTTGAAGTTAGAGATGCAAAGGGATCCACTAAAATAACAGGAACGTTTAACCAATAAAATGATGAAATCAGAAAAAAAATTTAAAAAATTTAACTATAAGGAAGGCAAAACCAAAAAAAGGTGACAAAGGACACATAGGAAACAAACAACAAAATAATGGACTTCAGCCTTACCGTATCAGCAATCAAATATAAGTACACTAAATATCTCAATTAAAAATCAGAGGTTTTAGTGCGAAGTAAAAAGCAGAACCAAATGTACACTGCTTACATTTATATATAAATATACAAGTTGATAGTAACAAAGAAAGAAATTCCTATAGAAGGAAATGATAATATGTTAATGCCAATCAGAAAAAAATAGAATGGTTATATTAATACCAAAGCAGAATTCAGAGGGAAGAATAATACCAAGGATCACTTCATAACAATACTTTCAAAAGTACATAATTTCATAACAATAAAGGATTCCATGCACTGGAGGAGGCAATTCTGTGAGTTTATACAGCTACTAATGGATCTTTCTTCTGGCAGGAGTACACAGAAAAAGAGACAAGTATATAGTCATGGTTGGAAATTTCAGTATCATCTTTCAACAATTGATAAAACAAATAGAAAATGAATGAAGGTACAGAATATTTGAACAGCACCCTTAACAACTCGGCCTGGTTTACATTTAGAAAACATTCCACCTATCATTAGCAGAATATAATCTTTGCAAGCACACACAGAACAGTTCCCGTTATGGGCCATACCCTGTACCACAAAACAAGTCTCAGTATATTCAGAAAGCATGTAAGTCTTAAAAAATACGTTCTTTGATCACAATGAACCATGGAACTATACTGGTAATCAATAAAAGGTTGATATCTGACAAATTGCCAAATATCAGAAACTAAATAGTATATGCAAACAATCCATAGACCAAAGAAAATATCAAGAAGGAAGCTAGAAAATATTTTGAACTTAAGGAAAATAAAAATAGTATATATATATTTGTGGGACATTACTAAAAACATTATTTAGGAGAAATGTATAGTTACTATAGGCCTCTTTTAGAAATGAAGCAACATTTTAAGTCATGACCTCATTCTCCATCTCTAGAAACTAGAGGGAAAGAGAGAAAATGAGATACAAATACAGTGGGAAAAAAAGAAATAATAAATATTAGAGGAGAAAGCAATGGAACAGGTAAACAACAGAGAAAAAGTAATGGATTCAAATGTGGAAAAGATTAATAAAATTGACAGTCATCTAGCCAAACTTTTCAAGGAGAAAAAGAAAAGCACAATTTACCATTATCAAGAATAAGAAGCATAGTTCATAAATTAAAGAAATCCTATATAAATTGAAGGGAAAGCTAAGTGTTAATTTATAATATATATTATGATCACATGCTATAGGTTCAACAATTTAAGTAAAATTCACAGATTTCTTGAAGACACAAGTATCACTCACAAAAAAATGGATAATTTGATGGCTGATGATTTGTAGTTGAAAACTTGTCTAAAAAGAAAACTTTAGGTCCAGAGAGCCTCCCAGGTGCCTCACACTAAACATTTAAGGAAAAAAACAACTCTCCACCCAAGCTCATCTAGAAAATTGAAGAGAATAAAATACCATCCTGTGAGTAGACAAACATTACCTTAATACTAAAACTCAAGAAATATATTGTAAAATGGAAAATTATAGTTCAACATCCTTTATGAATATACATGGAAAAACTCTAAGCAGAATTCTAGGAAACTGAGGTTTTTAAAAAAGATAACGTACCATGGCTAAGTAGGGTTTAGCTCAGGTATGCAAGGTTAGTTACCATTTGAAATTCAATCAGTACAATTTCTAAAAAAGAAACTCATTTGATCATCTCAGTGAACACAGAAAAAACTTTTTTTGAAAATCCAACATTCACTTCTCATTAAAAACTCTAAGCAAATTAGAAATATAAGGGAACCTTTGCAGTCTGATAAAAGACCCTATAGAACAGAAAGGGCCACATGTTTTTCTACATGTGTGCATCTACTGTGAAATGCTAAGAGTTACATTTTGGAAAATAGTTGTAACATTTTATTTGTTTTCCTTCTTCTTTCATTATGAAATGCAGTGTTGAGTTTGTCATTCCTCATTCAAGACAAAAAAAATAAATCCATCCTCTTCTTGTCCTATCACGGCTAGTTTAGTGATCTATAGGCCACAACTATTTCTATGTACTGCAAACATGTACTAATAAAAAGTAAAATAATCTGTTACCAAGATACATGTTTGAAAAATAACATATTTGGCTATTATCTCGCCGGCTTTTTAAAAATAGCTGCACATCAAATCGTCCAATACCAAAGTACTTTTTGCTTTGAAAGTTAACCACATTCTTTGGCTCATAGACTATGTTGCAAGAGGAAGTCCTTCTACAAAGACAATGTACTCCTGTTGGGGGCGGGTTCTAAATTTTTTAATGGCCATTTCTGTTTCTGTCATAGTTTTTCTATAATTTTTTGGTCTCAGGTCAACATAAATCTCAAGAGTGTCTATTATCCAAACTCTCCATGTTGTCATTGTTATGTTCACCTCTTGATGTCCACCCAGAGAGGACTGGATTATGGAGGTGGCAGAATTAAATGTGATGTCAGGAGGTGGGCTCTGGTAGAGGCCTCCTTGGAAGGGGTGCATCAGTGGGGTGTGCCCTTCCCACCTTTTCCCTTCCTCTTTCTCTCTCTCTCTCTCTGCTTTCTGGGTGCCATAGTGTGAGCAGCTTTCCTCCATCCAGAACCATCTATCATGTTGCCTCTCATGCATTCTGAACCTTCTGTGAGCCCAAACTAACCTCTCTTTCTTTAAGTTGTTGGCTATTGTGTCCTAGAGACAAGGAAAGTAACTAAGTAACTAAGACACTTGTGTACTCTCTGCCTTTGTTTGTTTTGTCAGTGAAAACTGAATCTTTTTTTTTTTTTAATCCATACCGGGGATCGAACTCACGACTGCCTGCTTGCAAGGCAGGTGCTTATGCCGCTGAGCTAAATCCCCAGCCCTGAACAGTGAATCTTTTTATGAATGCTATTTTTAACTTTTTGCCAACATTTTATCAAATGTCAAACCAATGCAGCTGAGATCAGCTGACTATTTTTTGTCTTCATTAGCTGATGGATTACAGTAGGTAAGATTCACTAATGTCCTGCTTGGTAAATTCATCTATTCAGGTTTTTTTTTTTACATATTAAATTCTATATTCCGTGACCTTGTTCACCTAGGTGTCCTTCATTCATTCCAGAGGGTTTCAGGTGGTTGTCCTCACCCTCCCCAGTTGGGTTTGCTTGCACTCATGCACTTGGAGTCTTGTCTAAGGAGTCACACTGCAACAGACTTAATAGACAAGTTTTGAGTGCTACCTTTCCTGGAAGTGGTTACCCCTTGGCTGAGAAAAAAATATTTGCTACGTAGTTAATTATCCTTAAGGCCCCTCTCCATCTCTGAGAACTTGATTTTTTAGTGAGCTCCCGCATGTCACTCTGTCACCTAGAGAAAGCGTGGAGAGCTTAATCCAGAAGCATTCCTATGCCCGCTCGCCCATCCGCACCTATGGAGGAGAAGAGGACGTCCTGGGGGAAGAGAGCCAGACAACCCCAAATCGAGGTAAGGCACCCCAAGGAGAATGAAGGTGTATGTGTCCCTAAGGGTGCACATTGCTATGAAAGGATATCTGGCCTTTGCAGAAGGCGGCAACCCTCAGTGCTGAGCTTCACACATTTCATTATTCTACCTGAGTTTTAAATGATTTTGCTGCCTGAAGTTCTGGTTGTCTAGTAACAGGACACTGGGGCTTTGAGTGAGGGCTCAGGAGGTATTTTTCTGAATTTACTACTATGAAAGAACTATTGCTTGAGACTTAACCACCTAGGCTTCCTTCATTACTAGTGTAAGATGGAATCTCAGAGTTGTTTTGATTTATACTTCCCTGATGGCTAAAGATTTTGGCCTATTTTTTCATGTATTTATTAGCCATTTATACCTCTTATTTTCGGAAGTGTCTATTCCATTTGCTTATTTTTCAAATAGGAGCATTCATTTTTTTAGGGGGTCTAATTTTTTTGAGTTATATGTTCTTTATATGTTTTAGACATTAGTTCCCTATCCAAAGAGTAAATGACAAAGGATTTTTTTTCAATTCTGTAGGCTATCTTTTCACTCTGCTAATTATTTCCTCTGCTTTTTAATTTATCATCATCCTATTTGTTGATTCTGGGTGTTATTCCTTGTGCTATTAGGAGTTCTATTCAAGAAGTCCTTGCCTATGCCTATATCTTGAAGTGTTTTCTCTATATTACCTCTAACATACCAGCAAAAAGAAAATCTAGATTTTCTTATGGAGGTGCTACAGAGGTGAGAAAAATTTTAACTGTTTAGTGTTCCTTTTAAGGGAATCAGGTCAGTGCCCATAGGAAAGGTGCCAGTATCTGGGGGTACTCTGGGAACATGCAGGCATCAAGTGAGTTAAATCTTTTTCCATTTAATAAATTCTTCCTTCCATTTAGGATATGAATGTTATCTTCCTATTAAGAAGCTTGTCTTTCTGACAAGCTTCATGAATGTTTGTCTTTTTCCATTGCAGATCTGTTAAATGTTTTTGAAAATAAAGGGATTTCGTCTCAGACTGAAATAGCTTCCAGTCTAACAAGTGCTCTTCCTTACAGGGTCAGCCTTTACCACATCTGACAACTTGTCGCTCAGCTCCTGGGTATCATCTTCTTCCAGTTTTCCTGGATTTCAGCATCCACAATCCCTGACTGCTCTTGGCACCAGCACAGCGTCCATAGCGACACCCATTCCGCATCCCATACAGGGTTCTCTGCCACCCTACAGCCGCCTGGGGATGCCTCTGACCCCATCTGCCATTGCCACCTCCATGCAGGGGAGTGGCCCTACCTTCCCTTCCTTCCACATGCCAAGGTACCATCACTACTTCCAGCAGGGACCCTATGCGGCCATCCAGGGACTGCGCCATTCCTCCGCCGTGATGACACCCTTTGTATGACTCTTCCAGAAGTGGAGCATCTAGATCCAGAATGTGCAAGTGGGTACAGAAGTAAAGGACAGGGTTGGGTGGGCGGGATGTACAGTGCTGAAACAGGTGACCTCTAGGAAACATGGGAGCTATTCAAGAGGAGGGCTAGACTCATGATCAAATCTACTGCTGTAGGAATACACTGTAGACCAGGATTCTTTGTAGTTGGGAGATAGTTCCTGGGTTCAAGAGAGAATCATTCATTGTAAAGTTCTTAGCTAACCTAAGTCTTGCAAATAATAGGATATCAATTTACCCAGAAAGCTTAATAACACAAGACAGAAAAATCTTAAAGTACATTCATCTTAGTGGCTAAAAATGCTATGTTACTGCAAAATTGTATAAAATCAGTATGTATAGGTTTTCTTTCCATTTTTCACAGGTTAGAAGAATCTTCTGAGAGGCAATACTGACCGTATGACAAACTGCAGTTCATTTCTACTTATGGGAAGTGGAAACCCATAGAGAAATATTTGTAGTGCTATACTTAAGCATGTTTCATTTCCTTTACATTAGTTCACCAGGGAAGGAGGTGAAATCATTCTGATGCGTCCTGTTGTGTGGATGAAGATGTGGTGTTGCCTTCACCAAGCTCTTCTTGCAATACCGATGGACCTATGCTCAACCAACTTGGTATTCAGTCTTGTCTTCTTCTGTCCAATCCCCTCTGCCTTGCAGCTACTTGCCAGTAATAGAGGAAAACTCTTCCAAATACAGTGCTGAAGCAAGGATTGTCTGTGTTCCTGTGCAGAACTGAAGTTTGCACTCTTCTGATCCATCCACTGAGGGCACAGCACAGCCTCTGTGTGTGATGTGTGGGGCTTGCTTCCTCTCACAGCTGCAATAAAAGATAGCTGCTCTTTTCCAAAGGAATTTCTCTGCCATGGAAGCCTAAGGCCCTTCCAGGTCCCCTTTAGCTTTGGGTGACTTGACTGATGTAAGAGTGAATTGGGCCAAATTCTCATTTTTGATACATCTGCTTTGTTGCCGCTGCCACTGACCAAGGGATTTGAGAATGACCATTTCGATGCCTGGATAGCCACAATTCAATGTGCGCTCATGAGCAACCATTGGCTGCGTAGCTAATTCATTCTGTTTTCTTACTGTGTTGCCATTTTTCTAAGTTCCTAATATGTAATTGCATGTTAATTCCATGACTGCCTGGCTGACATGTTGGCAGTTCTTATAAGTAAATTAAAGCTTTGTCCACTTTATTTTTAACTAGTGATATCTTCTTAAGCATTCTTTGTGTGTATAATAATAGTTAATTATAGTTTAGTTCTATAAGGTTCTATATAACCCATATGTTATATTTTTTGAAACATGTATATCTTAGCATTTACAATCAGGGTAAACACATTTGGTCATGTGCAACAGTTTATTTCCCTAATCAGGAACTTAATGAAGTTAATAATCTTTCAATTTTGGACATAATCATCTCCACCACAGAATGTAATCTGTGTTCTCAGCAAATTTCCCCAAAACTCTAGTTTAATTTTTTGTATGTCATTTCCATTCTATTTCTTTCTTACTGCAAAAGTATTGAATCTGTTAAAAGAGATGGGAAATATTGCTACTGACAGTAAAACTATATTTTAGGTAAATGCAATATACTTATCACATCAGACTCCCGTGGGGTTTTACTTGGTTGTGTTAATGTTAGCCTTTTCCATATTAGCTGCCTTTACTGGACTTCTCCAGCCTGTGACACACACATCATGGCATACTCCGATTATGTGGTGCTGTTTCTGGATTTTGGACGCACCATCCTCCATTGAACCCCAAAGTTTACTTACAAAGAACCATGGATATGTTAGTCAAGTATTTTAAAGTCCTATGCCAAACACTGTAGGTTCATTTGTGGTTGCTTGCATGTTATACAGTATCCATGGGTAGTTTGTTTTCAACGTATAAATGTGCATTTCTTTAAAAAGACAGTTATGATCAATATTTTAAAATAAATACCCATAGAGATGGGGGGCTTAATATTTACTAGTTGGCTTGTTGCTACTGCTCCTTTGAATTCAACAATAGCTGCTTAAAGCAGAAATAACAGGAGATGCTATTTTACACTATGCCATCCAATATCCTGAGAAATTCCTCATTTCCTAGAATCTGTGGACTTTCTTTTCAAAGAGAAAGAAAGGATTATTTTAATTCTATTTTGACAGCTCTCTCAATCTGTATTTACAAATTTTTTGCTAAATATGGTTTTGTATCAGTATTTCTTGCCTGTATCACTTTGTTTTGTTTGTTAAGCAAATAGAAACTGCAATATGTAGACCACTTACAGAAAAGTGAAGCATACTTGGGAAAATCAGAACTAAAATTCTGAATTAAGGTCTGTCAGTGTAGAAATCACCTCAACCAGAAGCACAAAGGAAGTGGAGCTGGGCTGAACCACAATCTCTGTAGTCACAGAGAAGAGAGATGCACCCACTGGCCCTTCTGTGCTATGACGGCTCTTGGTTCTAATTAACTCCTTGGTAGGAAAGTTAGTGTGTGAAATTCCAAAGTTTGCCCTCCCAAAATTGACTGCTAGAATCAGATAGTTAATAGGAAAGTTGACTGACTAGTAATAACCTTAAGTTATTTGGAATAAACTCAAGATTTTCCCTCTAAGGCTATGACAGTATCAAAGATGACTGCTGACATGGGATGCTGCCACAGACAGGAGGACCTGCCAGACCCACCTTACTGAACATTAAGGAATTAGTTCAAAACTAAGTAGGTTCTGCATTTGCAATTCATTTTTCAACATTTATCAATAATTCCAAGTTCAGTGATTCTTTTTAATTATTTAGTAAATCTTTCCCCCTCCTCTGGCAACCCTTAGCATTACATAGGTAAATATACTTAGCTTGCATCTAAAATACCACAAAAGGTTAGGCAACGCAGTCTAGATTCATGGCTTTGTGCTGTGTCACTGGCTTATTTGAGTTTAGAGCAAAAGTATAATGTCTGTAAGGCTCATCAGTGCTACTACGTGGGCATAGAGTACCTAGTGTTAAGCCTCCTGGTAATGATTCTTCATCTAGCCAAAGACCTTTGTAGGAGCCACCTATTTCAATATCTGTGTCCCCCATCTCTGGTATTTTGTTTCTCCAGCTCTTCCCCAAATAAAAATAAAAACAACCAAGAAATAGACTTAGGTGTCAAGTATAATCAGCGCACTGTGCTTATGGATCTCTGGGAGAGCTGTTACGACACTTACCTCATCTCTGTATCACAGATAAGCTTTTTAGGCTGACTTACCCATATAAATCTGAATTATATTGAGGAAGGTCGCCTTCAAAGTGGATGGAATGACTAACCCCCCATTAAAATCACAGATGTACCCAGGTAGGGTGGTGCATGCCTGTAGTCTCTGCACCTTTTTTAGCTCTGCCTACACAACTGAGCAACTTAACAAGACACTCTCAAAATATGAAAAGATCTAGGGATTCACTTGGTGAAAAAGTCCTGGGTTCAACACCCAGCACTGCAAAATAAAAATACACAGACAAGCTTAGCAGTGACTCAGTAACTAAAGCTCCAAATATCAGTTCTATAATGTACAGGGTACCATATTGCAAGAAAACTATTTTTATTCAATCTTCCATTGACTAAGGAAAATGATTTTCATTGTTTAATGGGCAGGGAATTGATAGTTATTAAAATAAAACACTACTATGCCCCAAATCTAGACAAAGCACTAGAGAGATTTTCAGCTTGCTCCTCTAGAGAGCTGTGCCTGAGGAAGGTAGGTTTTATGTGAATTTTTATATTCCTTTAAAATGAGTTTTGTAAGCCAGCAAAGTAAAGGCTAAAAACTCTTAAACTTTAGAAAAATCATAAATCTCTTTCTTCACCACTTACTAATCCATGCCAGCTATAAAATATCCCAACATTTATCTTTCTTCAGCATGCTTAAATATAGAAAGATTCGTTTATGAATATTTGGTAGGCACATAATCCACAAGAATTTTCCAGCCTTTTTTTCTCTGTCTGTCCATCAAATAATCTTGATTCCCACCTTTTTATAAATGCAATATAAATGCCCTGGGAATAAGGAAATAAAAACATTTTTGTGAAATGATACACCAGGACAAAAGTACAATGTGTTGTATTTTATTTCTGGTACATTCACATACTGTGGTTAGTTTTCTTTTTTTGGTTTTGATTTTCAGAAACATGAAAGAATTCTTTTATTTCCAGAAGAATGAAATTGGATGTAGCCCCTTTAGTAGACTGTCACAGTTTTTTTGTTTGCTGTGTCTTCATTTGCTTAATGGATTGTGTGAGAACAGTCACCATAATGCAGTGTGTGTGTTGGGGGTGGGGGGCTGGGCATGGGAAATGTTTTATGGAAAAAAGTTATAAGCCTAATACTATGAAGTAACATCTAATGAAGTTCTTTTTAAGTGCAATATATTTATTTCTGCTAGAAATGTATTATCAACCTTATGTAATATTTGAAGCATTACATGTTATTTGTAAACAGCTTAAAATTATATATTACTCCAAATTGTACAGAAGTACAAATGTGTGGGTCTTAGTATTTTTTTCATTAAAATCAGTGTGGTTTTGATATAAACACACATTACACCTTTCATTATCTTACATACTGACTTGAGGACCAATCTCTTCACCTAAAAGAAAAAAGAGAGAAGATTTCAATGAGATTGAAGCATACATCAAAACATTACTAGGCATGAGAACACTTGAAAGCCATCAGCAGATTAATCAAATTCAGAGTTTTAATCTTTTTTCCATATGACAGTCCTCTAAAATATTCAGCATCATTATACCTTCTGCCTACACAAATCTCTATTTCCCTTATATTTTTGTGTATGCTGAACACCAAATCATTTATTTGGAAGAATTCTAAGCTTATAGAACAGTTGCAAGAATACTATTTAAAAAACTCTACACGTGTTACACAGATTCATCAATTACTGACAGCCCAATTCGTTTTATCACGGGCATGCAAAGTAACACACCCTTACACAGATATGTTATATATATGAATTGCCTTTCTGAACCATCAGAGAGTAAGTTGACCATGGCTTATTATCCTTAAATAATTCAAAATGTACTTTTAACAAAATCAAGAAGACTCACTTAAATAACAGTGTTAGGAACTTGAGGAAATTTAACAATGATACATGACTGTGCTCTATGATCTGTATTTCAGTGTTGTTCAATGACCCAGTAGAGTCTTCTGTAGCATATTTTTTTCTTCGGTACAGACCTACCTTATAATCACATACTGCATTTGCCATGTTTCTTTAGTCTCCTTCAATCTAATATAGCTCCTCAGTCTGTCTTTAATATTTTATGGCAAAAGGGTTCCTAGTTTCCAGTGATTTATAATTTATTATCATTCTTAATTATTTTGATGCCCAAATTGATCCAGATTTGATCACTGAAAAGCAAACCCCTTCAAGTTCATTTGTCTTTTTGACATGCATGATTTACTTACTTTAGCATCTCTTTAGTTTCTAGCATAAGGAGATATTCTGGGCCCATCTCATACTTTTCTTTGCCACAGTTTTGAAATCAGCCACTTTGCAAAGAGTCTGTATTCTATTTAGTGGAGAAGGGGCTGAGAACAAGGTTTGGGAGCCAGGTGGGCTCACGCCTCTTTGTCTCTACACTCTTTCAGCTATCAGAAGTGCAAATCCATCCGTGATATAAGTACACACATGCACATATTTGCATCCTATTAGAAAGTAGGAGTTCAAACTGGCATCTTCAATGCCAGGACATGCCTCCCTTCACTCCATTCCTTCTCTGTATTTGTCCCTCCCACAATGAGCTCCTGGCTCCCAACAGCATCAGCATATTTATCTACTTAATATGCGCTTAAATTAATTTCACAGTTTCACCCATACAACTACCATAAACAAATCGTCTGAAAAGACATCAGGATTCCTTTGGTGTTGCTTCCTTATCACTTAGAGGACACAATAAGAGACATGTACAAAAGTTACTTGGGTTCTCTTTTTGTTTTGGGTGGTTATGTAACCCATTTGCAATAGATCAGTGTTTAAGTTTGCTTGTTGTTTAATGGATTTTTCTTCCCATTTTTTTCCTTCCCATTCTTATTGATTTAAGAAATACATAAAAAATAATGTGTTTACAACAACCACTACCAAAACCCCCCAAAGAATTAGCAAGTGAGTATAGAAAGTTTGCAGTGTACAATGTTAATACAAAAAAAGTTAACTGCTCTTCTGTGTCTTAGCAATGAACAACTGAAACCTGAAGGAAAAAAATCACTTATATCAACACTAAAAAGAAAAAAAAACAGGTAAAAATAAATGAAACATGCATAAAATCTATATGAGGAAAACTTCAAGATGCTGAAGAAGTCAAAGAAGATCTAAATAAATGGATTTAAATTTCATGTTTAGGAACAAGAAGACTCAATATTGTCAAGGTATCAGTTTTTCCCAAATTGATTATTAGTTTAAACACTATCCTAGGAAACTATTTTGTGGTTGTAAATAAATTTATCCTAAAATTTATGTAGAAAGACAAAAAAACTCAGAATAGCCAAGTCAATATAAAGAACAAAGCCACAGGACTGGCAGGGCCCAATAAACTTACTACAGAACCACAGTGACAAAGACATTGTGATACTGGTGACAGAGCAGACATAAATCAATGTAACAGAACATAGAGTCAAGAAATAGACCCACATGAATATACTTAACTGATCCTTGACAAAGGAGCAAAGGCAACTCAGGGGAGAAATAGTAATTTTTTTCAACAAATAATAACAGAACAACAGAAGGAGTATGACATGGGTGAGACAATCCTAGACACAAAATTTACATCTTTTGCAAAAATTAACTAAGATGCTTTGTAGATAGACCTAAATGTAAAATGCAATGCTACTGGTGCAAAATAACATAAGAAAAACTCTAAGTAACTTCTTAAAACTCGACAACAGGAAAACAAAAGCAAAAGATCTATCCAATCAGACACCTCACCTCAGAAGGCACACAGATGGGAAATGGCAACAGCAAAGATGCTCCACACCATGCGTCATTAGGGGGCTGGACACTGCTACAGCATGAATTACCACTGCGCATCTATTTGAGTGGTTAAAATCCAAACCAATAGCAACATCAAGGCTGGCAAAGATAAACAGCAAACTGGAACCATCACTGCTGGTGGGAGTGCAGAATGGTAGTTTAGCCCTTGTTCGGCCATGTTTAGCTTTGTTATAGCCATTTGAAAAGACAGCTTTCCAGTGTTCTGCAAAATGAACGTACCATTATCATCTGAGCCAGCAAGTGTGCTCACAGGTATTTATCCAAATGAGAGGAAAATTTATGTCATACACATGAATGTTTATAGCAGATTTATTTATAAGTTCCAAAACTTGGGAGTGAGAAAGATGTACCTCAACAGAGCAATAGATGAGAAGTCTGTGTTATGCCCGTCACCCATAGTATGGATTATTAGTCACTGATAAAAATGTCTTTCTTTATGTATAGGGCTGGGAGGATGGTTCAGTGGTAGAGCACTTGTCCAGCACATGCAAGGCCTTGGTTAGAGCTCAGGACTCAAACAAACAAACAAAGACATACAGGAAACTTCACTGCAAATTTGCTAACTGAAAAGCCTTCCTGAATGGGCTGTGTACTGTGTGATTCCACCTATTACACCAGAAAAATGAAACTACTGTGTATAGAAACAGAGTTTCCTTGTAAGGGGAAGAAATAAATGGATGATACAAGAAATTTTTAGTGTAGTGAAACAGTTCCTAAATAATACTGTATGTTGTTATATGAAATTAAGCATTTGTCAAAATACTGAATGACTCAAAAAATGAACTGTACTGTAAACTATATACTTCAAACAACAATAACACATAAAATTGGCTCATTAACTACAGCAAAGTTACCACATTAATATGAGATGTTAACAATAGGGAGAACTGCAAAGTTTGGGAGAGGGAACATACAGCAACTGTATTTCTGCACTTTTTCTGTAAACTTAAAAATGCTCTGAAAAAATTATTTTTATTTTCAATGACAACAAAATATCACTTCACACCCACCAGGATACACCTGTTGCAAAGACAGAATATTAAATCTTGTATTTCAGCTCTGTAGGGCTCCGGGTGTCATCTTTGAAGACTACCAGAGAGTAAATTTTGTATATTTGAAAAGTAGGCTGCCTAGAATCTTCTCTCTGGCTCAATTCTTTTTATTTGTAGGAAGAAGGTATTTCTGCCTATTTCATAGCTTTATGTGGGACATAGTCCTCAATTTATATTAGTTTATTTTTGTCTATTCTTTACTTGTTTTTAGGAAAAGTCATAGCTGGTTCTTCGGACTCTATAATATAACAAAGTAGATAAGTAACCTTTTTTCCATTCAAAGCCTAGACGGTGATGATTGCTACATTTCATAAAATATCACTGTGTGCATGCACTGTACACAAATCCTCTTCATCTTTGCAGTAACTCTGATGTGGGTGCCAGCATTGTATTCCCATTTGAGGTGTGAAAAACTGAGGCTTTTAAATGCTCAGAGATCTATGTAGTAAATGATGTAGCCATGATTCCAATCCTGTCTGCATGCATAACTAACAGTCTTCTGCTTAAGCAAATATTTCTAAATATTCAAAGTTTTAAAACAGTAATCTATTATAGCCCATTTTGTGTTGCGACCACAAAATACCTGAGGCTGAGTATCTCTCAAAGGGAAGAGGTCTGTTGGGCTCATGATTTTTGTATCTGGAGAGTCCAAGCAGCATCTAGTGCAGGCTCTGTCTACATCGAAGCATGGTGGAGCCCCCTGACCTGATCACCTCCCACCAGGGCCCTCTCTTAAAGGTTACACTACCTTTCCTGCACATGAATCTTTTACAGACCAACTATATGCAAACCATAGTATCTGCATTACCTTTTATGAACCCAGGTATGCAACCTTATTTAAGAAATATAAAGCTTTTTTCTGCTACTGAATTGTGAATTGTCACTGGTAAGGATCCTCACTAGTAAGGATTTCAACAGATGGTAGCAAACATGAAGATAGCATGTTAAAATTCCATGTTTATTTTTTGGAAACAAGTCAGCATCGGTATAGAAGCAGGACTCCATGGCCCCAGACCAAGTTCTAACAGTCTTGATGTAAACACTGCTTATTTAAGGATGTTTTCCCCTCCTCTTTTACTGCAGTGGGCGCTTAGGCTGTTAGCAGATAGAATTCATTAGAAAATAGGAACAATGAAGCTCATCATACTTAGAAACAGGATCGGAGGTGGAGACCAGAAGGAACAAGACACGGAGAGAGACAGAAACAGAGAGAATGAGAGGGTGGGGGAGGCCAGGAGGCTGGTGTTAGGCTAAAGAGGTACAGGGGAGACACAGAGAGGCTCAGTGGGGTTGATAGTGAAGTGTGTAGCAACTGGATGATTAGACGAAGGACACTCTTCTAGAGAAACTGCAGAGGATATGGAGACCCAGGAGGCGGGAAGGAAGGCTTCATACAGGGTGCTGAGTGACTCAATAATCCACCTGATCAGCTATCTAAACATGTGTACATACCCACCAGAATCAAATAAACTTACAAGGCTTTATTAAGGACACCCAATCAAAAAATCTTTATTTCATAGCTAATGAGAGCTAGAGAATGCCCAAAGCATACTGAACCCAAGTAAGGCTGAGCCCAGTCCAGTGATACTTCTAGATCACTCCATCCTAATCAAAGATAAATCTTAAGTCAATGTAAATTATTATGTTTTACAACACATAATATACACATGCTATTTTTACATTCACCTGCCCATAAAATATTCTAAAATATTTTCTTTAAAATATTAGAAATTTTTTTGTCAATGTTAAAGGTAACAATTCTTATATTGGTTATTTGGCAGTAAGCAAAAAAGAATCCCAATGTAATAAAGTTTATATACAACATTATTTTGGCTTCATGGAAAAATGTATTTTGTTGGGGATTGGGATATATCATACATATGTAGCTGTGTATTTATACATTAACTAAACCATTTAACAGTGGTTACTGAGTTACCCTTCTGTGAAAATCTGTGTGGATGTACAAAGCAATTGTTCAGTTTCACCAAGTAAGCAAAAAGGACTCTCCCAGTGAATTCATAGATCATGTTCCTCCTTTTGAATGAAACATCATTTTACATGGTGTTTAAGGTCAAAGGGTTCTCTGTTTCATCTGAAATAGGCTTGAGAAACAAGGCCAACCAGAGCTTGAATGGCTTATAGAGATGGAGTATTTCTTTTTGTTTTAAAGCAGGCAATATCCAAGTCAAAGACACAGGAAATATACTGGAACTTAGAAATTCCAACTGGTTGTCACAGAAACTTTGTCTCCTGTGGGCCAAAAGTCAGTGTCAGGCAAAATGCCACAGTGAAATGCACCTACCTTTAACCTTTCTGTAGGAGACATTGTGTGGTACTTTTTCATCAGCCCCTCTGAGAAGCACCTGCATCCAGCTAGAGTTTTAAAGCCTGTATAAAGCAATTCAATAGTAGCAAATTTACTATTTAAAAGTGAATCAATGTAAGATAGATCATGGTTTTAGATTGGGGGAGGTATTTAATTAAATATACATAGCGGACAGACAACTTTTTTTAAAAAGTAGGATCAACTTATTTAATAACTTGAAAGGATTTAAGTCATATTATCTTTATTTTCAAATGACATAGCCTGTATGTAGAAGATTCAGAAAATCCACCAAAAGACTTAGAATTAAAGACTAAATTCACTAATTTGGCAGGATACAAAATCACACAAAAATCAGTAGTGTTCCTGTACATTAACAATGAACCCACTGAGAAAAAATTGGGAAAATATAATATTCACAATAATATCAAGAAAAGCTAAATACTTAAGGATTAACCTAACTAAATAAGTGAAATGGAAACTACAGTACTATATATGAAAACGAGATCAAAGAGGACATAAGATCACGGAAAGATATTCCCTGATCCTGAATAAGCAGAACCAATAAAATAAAAATGGCCATACTTCCAAAATGGACACACAGATTTAATTCAATCCAAGCCAAAATACCAAGAGCACTTTTCACAGAACTGGAAAGAGCAATCCTAAAATTCATATTGAACCAGGAGAGACCTAAAATAGCAAGTGCAATCCTGAGTAATATAAGCAAAGCAAGAGGCATCACAATCCTGGACTTGAAGTTATGTCACAAAGTTACTGTTATAAAAACAGTGTGGTATTAGCATGAACACAGATGTGTACATCAGTGGAACAGAACAGAGGATTCAGACACAAGCCTAAATAAATTTGACTATGTGATCTTTGATAAAGGAACCAAAAATACACTAGAGAAAGATAGTCTCTTTAATAAATGGCATTGAGAAAATTGGCTCTGTGTGTGTGTGTGTGTGTATGTGTCAAGTTAAATCTAGACACATAAATCTCTCACCACCTACTAAACTAAAATCAAAATGAATCAAAGAACTAAATGTTAGAAACAACCTTTTGGATGATAAAATAAGTAAAATTCTTGAAGTCATAGGCATAAGAAAGGACTTTCTGAGCACAACCCAGATGAAGAGAATGGGACCATATTAAATTTAAAAAATTCACAGCAAAAAGAAACAACCAACAGAATGAAAAGATAGCCTAAAGAATAAGGAAAAATTTCTGCCAGCTGTTGCTCAAAGGACTAATATCTAAAATATATAAAGCACTCAAAAATTAAACCACACAAAATAAGACACAATAAAAAAATGGACAAATGAAGTGAACAGACATTTCACAGAGGAATAAATGGCTGATAAATACATAAAGATACAACCAACATCACTGGCCATCAAAGAAATGTAAATCAAAACACTATCAGGATTATATCTTATCCCAGAAAGAATGGCCACCATCAAGAAATCAAATACAAATGCTGGCAAGGCTGTGGGGAAAAGGAACCCTTCTACATTGTTGGTAAGCATGTAAATTAGTACAGCTACTGTGGAAATCAGGATGGAGATGCCTTAAGAAATTCAAACTAGAAATTCCATTTGACCTAATTATTCTCCTTCTAGGTATCTTCCCAAAAGATATCCTATCACAGCGTTAGGTGTGTGCCCATGTTCATACAGCACACTTCATAATAGCTAAACCCTGGAAGCAGTCTGTATGTCCATCAACAGACAAATGGGTTAAAATGTGATATTTACACACAATGGGGAGCATTACTCTGTCGTAAACCTGAGTCATTGTAGGAAAATGGAAATAACTTGAGACCACAGATGTTTAGCGAAATAAACTAGACACACAAAGTTAAATATTGCATGGTCTCTCTTACAAGCAAAGACCAAAACACAAGGTATTAGGAAGTAGATTTTTCTCAGACGGGAAGAGGATCAAGAGATGGAGGGGGAGAGAGAAAGAAAAGGCGATGAAGAGAGGAATTAAGATGTTATGCATGTGGAACAGTGGAAACATTATGTACTGTAACTGTTTAATAAACATATAAAAAGACACCAATTTGAAATTGCCTAGAGAGTAAATAGCCTTCAAGAAGCATATATTGCAAGATGTGATGGTGCACACCCGTAGTTACAACAAGGAGGAAGCTGAGGCAGGAGGATCACTCCACGTTCAAGGTGAGCTGGGCTACATAGTGAGTTCAAGGACAGCCTGAAGTACATTGAGACCCTGTCTCAAAAACAAAGAAACAAAAAAGCAAATATCTATAGTTATCTTGGTTTGGGAGCACAAAATAGAGATACAAAAATATTTTTTCATCCTTGAATTTGTAGCTAATGTCTTTCAGAAGTATAACTGCAATGAATAATATTATTAAATAAAGTTGCTCTAAAAGATTTGAAATGCAGCTCAGGGATAGTTAATGTAACTGGAAGTCTCAAGAATTTTGCCACCATCTTTGGTAAAACCTGATCCTAAGAGAGTAGAGATAAATACACTGATGCTAACTCCTTGGGCTGTGAAAAGCCCAGGCAGGGCGCTGTAGTACAAAGTGTCAAAGTGCTCAAATAAACCCCGTCAGTTCTTCAGATTATCAGTGAAAATGGAATTAGTACTTCAAATGATCAAATTATAACTCGAAAGTTTGTGACATTTTAAAAATAGTGTTCACTGAATTATTACATCCATGTACCTTGGTCCATATAATCGGGATAGATATAGATGTAATTTATATCTGTGTTGTGCAAAGTTAAAATGTTGAAATCTTATAGTCAAATTACTTGAATTAGTTAAAATAGCCACAATTGTTTGTTTTGTTTTTTGTCTTTTTCCTTTTTATCGGTACTGAGTATCGAACTCACGACTGCCTGCTTGCAAGGCAGGCGCTTATGCCGCTGAGCTAAATCCCCAGCCCCCAGCCACTATTATTTGAGAAACTGTTTGCCATGATGAATATATTATTTTGATAATTTCAATTTATTGATTTGGTGGTAGTGGGAACTGAATCCAGGGCTCACTAAGCTGCATCCCTGACCCTGTTTAAATTTTTTTTTTTTTTTAATTTCTGATAAAGGGTCTAAGTCACTAATTTGCCCAGGCTGGACTCAACCTTGTAATGCCCCCACCTCAGCCTTCCAGTGTGCTGAGATTGCAGGTGTGCACCATTACATCTGGCTCGATTTAATTGTTCCTATGTGAAATTATGCTTGGAAATTCCTTGCATTTCATATTTAGTCAACTGATTTATTACAAGAAGAGTAAACTGATTTATTACAAAAGATTTTTTCCTTTTAAAAGCGAATTTCAAGGTTTCAGACCATACGCTGCTCCCTCTGATGTTGTAGCAAAAAATCCTAGTAAAGCCTCTTTTAGATGGCAAAAAATGAATTCAAAAATTACATTTAAAATTTTTGATTTACAGGTCTTTGTTGCCCTCTGCTGGTTACGTAGCTTAGCTGCATTGTTTGCACTGAGGAGGGGGCGCGCAGGCGGGGACGTACGGAGCATGCGTGTTGGGAGGGGGCGCGCGGGAGGGGCGGGCTCGGCCGTTGGGACCCCTTCCCCATAACGGTGGCCGTAACGGCGGCGGGCGAGTCGTGAGGCTGCGCCCAGGAGTGACGCTCGGGTCGGCGACTGTGAGGAAATGGTCAGGGGCAGGAGGAAGAAGCGCGCAGAGGCGCGCCCGGAGCCGCCCCCGGGTCCCCGCGCCAGGGCTAGGAAGCACGAGCGGGAGGACGAGCCGTCCGTGGACAAGGCCCGTGGGAGCCCGGCCGGCCTCGCGCGGCTCCTGCCCGGCGTGCTGGAGCGGCTCGGCCGGAAGGCGCGCGTCCTGCTGCAGCTCGGGATCCGTTGTGGCGCCGCGCTGGGCCTCGGTGAGCGGCGGGAGGGCTTGGGCCTGCAGGGGGCGCTGCGGCCTGCACGGAGCTGGGAGGACCCGCCGCGCTGGAGGAGCTGAGCCCTAAAGCAGAATCAGGGACTCAGAGCTCAGCCCTGTACAAAAGTTACCTTACTCAGGGCAGCCAGCGTCCAGTTTCTAGAGATGCCCAGCTGCTTCTTATGGACAGAATTGATGTGGCTCTGCATTTAAAATAAAGCAAAAGAAATTATTATTTCCTGAGTTTTCATTAGTGCGTATTAGGTTTAGCGATGCAGGGTTTCATTTTGGCAAATTTTAATGCACGTAAGGGGGGTTCAATGTGTGTAATGTATTTTGAACATATCCGTGTTGTTTTAACTAGTCGACATCATTAATAGTGAAAGATCAAAGGCATTTTGGGGAGGAGATAGGAGTCTGGGTTAGCGTGTTGTGGTCACTTAACTTAGGGTCTATAATAGAAATAGAGTCAGAGCAGACAGTATGCTACCTGGCCTTGACACTTCTTTACAAGTCCTGCGATCTTGCTGTAGACTTTTAACGTCTAAAATTGGAGATTTGTTGAAATGTGAACATTGAAAAGTTTTCCCCCTCCCTTTACAGCCCCTATTTTCTATAGAGCTTGAGAGAGAAAAATGTTGCTACCTCAGTGAAACCATCTGAGAGCTAGTCCCTTGGTCAGGCCGCTGCTGGTATGAACAGCGGTGTGGATGGATGTCTCTTAATGCAAATCACTATCGTTGGTTCCCACCCTGTGTTGGCTGGCTGGTGTCGTGTGAGAACGAATCCCCACTTGTGGTGGTGCTCATGCATGAGAAGTTGTGTAGGTTCCATCAGCTGTGTGATTATCCCCACAATCTCATCCCACAGACAGAGTCAGCAGGGGCTGAGGTCTGTCACAGGGAAGACGCCTGATGCCTGTTGTGAAGCAGTGCCTGACCACCGCAGTGTTGTCGGAGCTCAGAAGAGGGAATTCATACTAAGGGTAGGAAGTGGGTAAGGAGATAGCAAAATCAGCAAAGACCTTCAGAAGTTTGGATTGAATTGTAAGAAGGAACTTAGCTTTGGATGTGTGGATCTGGTGCCAGTTTTAGGGACTTGCAGAACTGCAGGGTAGAAGTCACCAGTTCTCAGGGCACAAGAGCAGGCAGGTTGCAGGAAGGCTTCTGAACAAGGAGGAAGTTGGAATTGGGGTAAAAGATTGGGAGCAGTCCTGAGAGCCCAATTCAAGGCTGGGTGCAGGACATTTGAACGTTATTCTGTTGGAAGGCACTGATTGGGTCTTTTCTTTAGAAAATGTTTTTAATGAGATGAAATCATATAATCCACTTTAAATTCAGTGGCATTTAGTACAGTGAGTGATTTTTAAATAGAATAACTTGACCAGAAGTGTGGTTCACAGTGAGCTGGGCAGCAAGTTCATAGGTGGACTGGAGGTGGATTGAGAAAGGAAAGAGAAGCGTGGTTGAAAAAAATCACTACTAGACTCCAGGCCAATGGAGGGTAGTATCAGTAGGGATGGAGAGGACAGGACAGAGGTGAGAGTTGATGGAGAAGGGCTGAAAGGACTAGATGGATGGATGGTGAGGTAGAAAAAGAAATGCAGGGAGGAGGAAGGAAGAAGTTCATTCAGGATTGAAAATTAAGGATTTGGAAATTGTAAGAGTGAAAGTAACATTGGGCGACATTGGCAAGGGATACCAACATGGAGACAAAAGGGGCATAAGGGAAATATACTTTAGGCAAATTCAGAAAGAAAAACCAGCTTAAGTGCGTAAAATGTATTGAGAAAAATAGAAGTAGGAGAATCAGTATAACAAGATTAGAGAGAAAAAATACAAGAATCTTTATCAGTTGCTGCAGGAAAGTTGAAAAGCTTAAAAATTGAGGGAGGGAGCCCATTGATTCTGATAATGAAAATGCTGATCACTTAAGAGGGTTATGGAACTTTATAAGAAAGACATAGGCCAAGGATCTTGTCATTGAAGGGGAGAGTGAAGGAAGGGCTGCTGGCTCACGGGAAGGGTTTAGGATGGGGAGAAGGAAGGCTGAAGGGGAGGGGGGGGGGGAGTGAGGTAGAGGATCCAAGAAAGAAAAGGTTTAAAGGAACAAAGTCTTGGAGTGTTTGGGCAGGATAAGGAAGACACTGTTTGAGAAACTGCTGTGAAAAGAGGACAGATGCTTTCTCTTCTGAGGTGGTGGAGAACACACAAGCTAGGATTACTCTACCGAGAAATGTTTGGAGAAATACAAAAGAGAATCTAAAAGAAGCCAGAGACCTTGTTCCTCTTGGGTTTGTTTTAATAAGGAAAAGAGCTGAATCGTGTTCTAAAGTGAGCTGCGGGAGATGGGAGCAGGGCCCAGAGCACTGGTTTTCATCACATCATGGACTCTGAATAATCCACCCCCCACTGCGGATTTGCAGTTTGTGTTGGTTGGAGAGATTGTAAAATATAGAAGTTTTAGGATCTTGGGAACGATACATTTGGTAGCATATTTGATCCTTTCTGTGTAAGTTTCATATGTAAGAATTTTGCCTGCATATATAATTTTCACAAAGAGAATATTAATGTAGTTAAATGAGACAGTTTTGGGTATTTCTTACAGTTAATGAAACTTCAGCAGAGATGCATCTGTTTGGAGTTTAGAAAGAAGTTTTTAACTTTAATTTCAGAGTACTTCTGAGTGTACTGGTTAGAAAGTATCACCCTAGGGTTGAGAATATTTGCATAGCATGCACCAGGCCCTAAGATTCCAGCACCACCACAATTAAAGATGTGTTAACATGGTAGTAAAATATTTTTTTCTTCGGTAGTAAGAATATTTTTTTTAAAGATCCAGTGAGTAAACCATTTAAGCTTGAACACCATGTACTGTTTCTGTTGTATATTCATCTTTCTTAATTTATTGTCACAACCCTTTAAAAACATTAGACCATTTTTAGTTCACAGGCAGTAGAAAAACAAATCATGGACTGTAGGTTGTCCATTCTAATACAAAGCAAGAAAGTCTTCTGAGAGGTGTTGAAAATGATCCTTGGGTCAGCAGTCATATGAGGAAAGAGCTGACAGATGATTGGGAATTTCAACACTGTTATTTTTAACTGAATTTATTTTGTTATCCAAGCTGAATATCTTTTGAATGTTTTCAGAGATTAAAGTGGGTGGTTTGTAAGATGACCTTGGATAATCGTATGAAATACTATTGTAAAATTTTAGAAGGAAGTGGGACTTCTTAAATAATTAAGTAAATTCATTTCTCCATAACACTGAATGATAGATACTTGGAAAATTATCAAAATCAGTGTTTCTAAAACTCTGAAAATTAACCCAAAGCTTACAGCAACCTGAAGAGCCGTAAAAACAAGTTTTAACTCAGTGCACCTCCATTTCCTCCCCTCAGCCCCATGCTCTCCTTGGAAACACATAGCTTTCCAGTGGCAGAGACGGCCTAAAGAGTGCAGCTCTTTATTAAGCCTCTCACTGAGGCAGTGTCTCTGTGGATCCTTCTCACAACTTTGTACAGCTTCAGGCACAGGGTGTGTGCTGTCCATCTTGGTGCCTGGGCCCCAGAGCTCAGGAGAGCTGACAGTTCCTCGGGGCTGGCGGTGCAGGTGGGCTCTAGGTGCTCGGCTGAGGAAGAGCTTTGCAGCCTTTAACCATCTTCTGATGAGCATGCGAGTGAGGAATGGGGTTCTAGAGTGACTCCTGTGGGCTAGGGTTTTTCCTAAAAGTCTTGTTGAGTGTAATGTATGTATCTGCTTGTCTTGATATCGTATACAAAATAAAAGCAAATAGACAACAGAGAAAAATGCAAACCCCACCACACCACACACAGAGAAAAGTAAGAATCATCCCTTTTATGTTCTTTTATAGATGACCTTGGAGGGACCTTCCCAGCCTTTCCCTTTGCTTGTGTCTGGTCCCTCTTAGCGTGGGAGAGGTTAGCAAGATTCACAGTGCACAGCAGGCCCTAGAGTTGTCCCTGTGCTCTTAGATCAGAAGGAGTCGGCCACCTGGCTTGTGTGTGCGCTCTCTAGACATGGAAGCAAGTGCATGTGAAATGCTTGGTTTCAAGGAACTTATAAAGCAGCTTCTAATGACTTTCTTTTTCTCTTTTTCCAGCTGCCTTTGTGGGAATTTTGCATTGGTAAGATTTAGTTTTAGTTTGAAATTTAAAAAAATGGATTAGAATTTGCCATCATAGTTTGCATGCTGTAAAACAGTTTTTGGTTGTGTATTGAATCTCTGTATGAGTAACACTGTGTGCAAATGTAACTTTTTATTGTACAAACCTCATGTGTGAAGCAGCATTTATAAAAGAGATGCCTTAGGGAAATAGTAATCTATGAATTAAAATACCTTTGCTTTTCCAAAGAATTTACCACTATTTGTGTGTATTACTTGAATGCATTACTTGAAATATCTAGCTTTTCTAGTGTATTTTAAGTTTATTTCCTTATTTTGTACTGGTAGCAACTATGTGTTAGTGATATAAGACAGTTTTTTTGCAGTGCTTGTCAATTGAAAAGCAATAGATGTGAACAGAAGGTTCCTTCCTATTGGGGCAGAATTAAATGCCCTGAGCCTTCAGTGTGTGTGTGGAGGCACTGTATTTTATAAAATGATCTATTTGTAATAATCGTATGGAAAATGAGGATATTTTGCCTCTGGAATGCTCTCATTTCCCCTGAGCTCCAGGGATTCTATTCCTGGGAAGGGTGAGGTCTGCCCCTCTTCTGCCAGCACAGTGCTCCTGTGGCCACAGGGGACTCTGGGTGTCAGCACTACTGCTGGGCTTATAGGTGGCATTGTCAGCTGCTATAGATACACATGGCCCACATGGAAATAGGGATGAAGTAGGAAACCAAAGTTTTGCTTTCTTTTTGACTTCATTGAAAAACACTACATAAATTAAGTATAGCATAATTGCTGACTGTAACTAATTTGTTTGTCATATATGACCCTTTTGTCACTGCCTCTCCCTGTTGAGTTACACTACTAAAATATCTTCCACTTCAGTCCTGTGTTCTTTGCCATTTAAATTTGATTCTTTATGCGATGCTACATTTATTTAAAAACTGATTTAATCTCAAGTGAATTTGTATAAAATTATATCCGGAGCATTTTTCAGCAGTTACAGAGATGTATCCCAGACCAGGTACATTTGAATCAATTGTTAAATAAAAACCTGCCTGTGTTCTCATTTAGGGGCCTAGGGAAGAAGGAAGAAAAGGGAGAGCCATATATATTATATTATATATTATATATATAAATATATATATAAAATATATATAATATAATATATATAAAATTAAGAACAGAGTTAAGGAATTTCATGTGTGTTCTGTACTGGATTATATAGGCCCCAAAACATATTGTTTGTAAATAACTACAGCATTGATGATTTCAATATTTTTTATAAAATTTATTTTTTTGCGTTCCACAGCTTTCTTACTTTGTGATTTTGTTTATGCATAAGTGATTCTGAAACCTGTTCTTATTATAATATGTCGTTTATTTTTTTCCCCAGGATACACTTAACAACACTTTTTGAAAATGACCGTCGTTTTTCTCACCTCTCAACTCTGGAACGGGAGATGTCATTTCGTAATGAAATGGTCAGTTCTTTCTCCTGACTTAATTTGTGCTTTAACAAAAGTAAGACTATAAAGTAGATATTTATTAGGAATGAAATAGGTTTCTGATGAGTGATGTCACACATTTCTCCTTTCTGTCTACGTGAATTTCCAGAATGCTAGACATTTCAGCCACTGCCTTTGATTTTTATCTATATCACCCTTGTAATGCTTTGGAGGCCTGGATATGCAAACAGTTGTAAGGCATTTGAATATTTCAAACGTATATTTTGCAATGACAGAATATAAATTATTATAAAGAGGATCACTGTGGCAGCATTTGTGCTTTGATGACAAATCACTGGGTCGGGTAGCAGTTCCATCTTTTCTGTATGATAGTTGGTCAGTTGTCTTCCTGATTTGAGTCATCCCAGCTGTCATTAGAAATAATACCAACCACACTGGATTTTCATGAAAATGAAAGAAGATAAACGAGCAGAGGCACAACTCACAGTACCGAGCACAAAACAGTATCTTGTTATGAATAATAAATTACATGTTGCGATCAAAATGTATGGTGAATGTTTAAATTTTTGAAAATTATGATGGAAGTCCTTTTTCTCAACAAATACCTGACACCTACAATTTAGAAGAGGAAAAGTTTATTTTGGCTCATCTTTTCAGCCCTAGTCTGCTGGCTCCAAGGCAGGATGGTGTGGTAGAGGGTCATGGCAGGGAAAAAGCTACTTACCTCTTAGGCAGCAGGAAGCGGAGGGAGGCAAGGGAGGAGCCAGAAGGAGATGCAGCCTTCCAGGCCATGCCCACGGGGACTGCCTTTGCCCAGGAGGCTCCGCCCACCAACAGCACATCGGCTATAATGTCCCATAATCCAGTCATCTTCCAAACACATGAGGCTTTGGGGGCCATGTTATATCTGTACTACAGTGAGGGACATATTGCCATTAGCCTCCCATGTCATTTAACACACGCCATCACTTGCTACTCTCTGAAGCAGTTCCAGAAGTCCTTTTTTGTGAATATTGTGCTGTCCTGGTGCCTTGATGTCCTGAATCGATTCAAAACATTTAATTTCAGTTAAATGAAAATATTATAACCATCCCCTCTGTTCACTGAATCTGGCCCCACGAAACTTCTGACTCTTAGCCAAAGTCAAAATCACCATGAAATGTGCATGTTTTGAATCAGTTCAGGCCATCAAGGCAGCCACAACAGGGCAAGTGAAGACACAAATAAGGACTTCCAGAACTACTCCAGAAAGTAGCAAGAGTGATGGGCTAAGTATGTCTGAAGTGAGAAGGAGGATTTTGAAAGGGGTTCATGACAATGTGTCTTTTACTCTAATAAATGTTTTTTAAATTTAAACATTCATCATATTTTTAGATTATGCCTCATATTTATACATTTGCTCTTTCCCAGTATACAAGTTTTTGCAATATTTATAAGTTTTGTGTTATCTTGTCATGCATTTAAAGAAACCTCTATGAACTCATAACTGACAGTCAAAACTATGGGAAAATAGTCTGTCAACCATCAGTTCAAACATCTTCAATTTAGAAGCTACAAATGATGCTTAGCTTATCAAAAATAAAATAGTGGACTTCTGGTTCACAGGACCTGCTGCAGCTTGTGTACTTGGGAGTTTGTCTGAAGATGGGCTCTGGAAAGAGAAGACAATGCCCTGGAAGAGCTCAACCACTTAAAAGTATTCTCAGAGTAGAGTGTGGTGTCTGAGTGAGAAATGTGCAGGATAGCAGCTGGTGGCTCCCAAGCGCTGCCAGGAGAAAATGCAGTGTGTGGTTAAAGATGGAAAAGATGACGAGAAAATGGAGATGGACACATAGAAAGCTAGAAAACTTCCAGGCCACCATGGACAGAACCCTGACAGGATGGATGCGCCCCAGGCAGAGACAGGGCCGAGGCCAGCGACAGGGAAGGGGAAGGTGGTAGACCAGACCAGGTGCCTAATGTCCTCACGGCCCTGGTCCCATCTGCAGCACTGAGGAAAAAATACAGGAAAGGGGGAAAGCAAAGAAAAGCAAGCGCAAGGACCTTGACCTTGTAGATCCTCAGTGAAATATGTCACGTGGGACAGATGTTTGATTGGAGTGTGTGCACTGGCTCCAGTGCCCACTAAGTGAAAAAATATAGGGTTTTATATTTTAACATAACATGACCTGTTTCCTTTAATTCAAAATACCTCCTCCAGTGTATTTGGGAAAATATTTTCTTTGATGAATGAAAGCAATACTGGATGCTGCCCAGTGGCCAGATTTTATCAGACACCTAAATCCTGTCAAGAATGAATGTGGCTGTACTGTTTGTGCTTAAAACTTTGTAGTTGTAGTCAGTAGACATAAAGTAAACGGTATGTTGACAGAATTGAGTAAACTCTGGTTTTTAAAGGCTGTTATACAATCGTGGTATTAAAAATGCAGTATTAGTGGATCTTACAAATAGTAATACTTAGAATTTTGATTTTGTATAATTCAAGATAAAAAATACTTCTGGGTGTAAAAAATAGTGAAATGAAACAAGAATGAATGTAGAAGATGCTGAGCTCGAAAAAAGAATGAATGTAGAGTATAATTTTTAATTTTTAATGCAAATGGAGAAATAATTAGGATTTTTTTTTTTTTTTTTGTGATACCTGGGATCAAACTCATGACTGTGTGCTTGCTAGGTAGGCACTTGTGCTGCTGAGCTAAATCCCCAACCCAGGATTCTTGTTATTAATCTCTATTTTTTTCAGAAAAATATGTTCTAAAAAGTTATAAAAATTTTTTTACTCATTGATTAAGACGAATGAAATCTTGTCATTTGTAGAAAGAATAAATAGAATTAGAAATCATCATGTGAAGTGAAATTAGCCAGACACAGAAAGTTAAATATCTCGTGTTTTCTACTTGAGAAATTAAATAAATAAAGGAGAGTCGGCAGGAAAGCAGGAGGTAGACTTTTGGGGATAAGGAAGGACATCACTAGGACAGGGGTGGAAAAGCAAAGGATGTAAGTGGGGTTGAAAATGATCAAAATATATTATATGCATGTACAAAGCTCCCAAACAAATCCATTCTATATACTAACATGTACTAGTACAGAATTTAAATGAAATAAAGTATTTTAAGGTTTTGTTTATATTGACCATATGTGCTTTCTTACTTTTTCTATAAAGGGACTTTATTATTCTTATTTCAAGACTATTGTTGAAGCACCTTCGTTTTTGGAAGGCCTGTGGATGATTATGAATGACAGACTTACTGAATATCCCCTTGTAATTAATACAGTGAAACGATTCCATCTTTACCCAGAGGTGAGTGATACACGAGACAAATAACACTTGTAGTGCTTTAGTGAACTATAATTGGCTTATAGTAATTGGTCGCATATGAGGTATACAGTTTGATACGATTTGGCCCCAGTGCCCACCACTGAAGGCATAACACCATGTAGACATGGTCCTGACTATCCCACCAGGAGTTCCCTTGTGCTCCATGGTAATCTCGTCTCCCTCCTCTCCTCTGCCCACGTCCCATCCCCAGTAAACTACCAGTATACTTCCTGTCACTGTAGTTCAGTTCACGTTTCATGGAATTTTATACAAATAGAATCATAGAGTTATTCTGTGCCCAGGTCTGATTTTTACCAGGTTGACTGAGTGGTGGCATGGGTAGGTCAAACATTACTTATGTTTCTTAGGAAAAGGAACACACTGTGCCATGCAGGGCCGCCAGAGAAATAGTAGTTTGACCAAGCAGAAGAAAGCACAAGGGGAGAGCCTAGGCCCGAGTTCTCCGTCAGCAAAATCAAAAGACAGCTGAAACTGGAAGAAAATATTTGTAAACAAGTCATAGAAGAAGGGCCAGTCTTTCCAGTGTGAAAGAGCTATTGTTTGGAGATGAAGAAAGCCAGAAAGAGAACACTTTCATCTCTACCACACACAAAAGAAAAGACAACCCAGCTGGACAGACTCTTAAATTAATGCATTTTCTTGAACCCTTCAAAAAACTGAGGTTACAAAACAAACAGTGAACAAAACATTCTGAGAGGAGTGGGTGCCTGGAGAGAGAAATTGGGCAAAACTCAATCAACTGAGATAACATACTGCAAATGATATATTAACCAGTAGGAAGATTAAACTAGAAAATTTCAATGAACTGCTAACGGCTGAGAGTGTGCTTAGTGTGAGATGCAAAGGCCCTTGGGTCACAGGCTGTCTTGGTGAAGAAGTGTCTAAACAGTGCTTTCCTTGTGAGTAGGGAGGGAACAGCAACACAGTCCACACCACACTAAACCCATGTCCCAGCCTCCCCTAATGAAAAAATATCATGATCTGTGGGGGGAAAGAATCAAAGCTATAGTTTGAAAACATTGGTGAGTACTCAGTACAGCTAACAGAAGAGAATACACAGAAAAAGAATACATTTGAAAAACAGCTGTGTTCCTGAACAAGGGACAGGACCACCTGTGAGGTCACATCTGTAAGACCCACATTCACTGCACCTGCCTAAGACAAAAGCCTCCCGCCCCTGCAATTACTGCACTAATGAGCTGTGAATAAAGATGTCACAGTAGACTAGGGCTGGATGAGGTTTTGTTTTTCAGTACCAGGCCCATTCTCTGCACCCCAGTCTACACTGGGTGACTTAGAGACAGTTTCTTTCTAGGGAGCAGCACAAAGAGAAGACTCAAAATCAAGCGAAAGACATGGTACCATGAGAGTAATTTGAAATCCCTGGTGTCTATAGCAGTAACAAACTCCTGGTCTGGGAATTGTAATAGCAACAGACTCCAAACCAGCCCATCTCCTGGACAAACTCCCACAGTAAAGGCTTAGCTGAAGGAAAAGAAAATTCTGGCTGCTGAGAAGTCCAGGATCAGAGTCCTGGCAGGCTCATTGTCTGGTGAGACTGCTGTCTGCTTTCAAGATGACCCCTGGAAGTGATATCAAAACCCCTGGGGACGAGGACACTGTTTGGCAGTAGCAGAAGACAGAATGAATGAAGCCTGTTTTGTCAGGGCCTTAATCCCCTTCGCAGCATCTCCAAACTCCCACCTCGTCATGCTGTCACACTGGCCACTAAGTTTTAACACCTGAGTTTTGCAGGGAGCACGTTCAAACCATTGCAGCGCCTACTGGTGCTTGCGGATTGTCAGGTTCTTGAACTCCAAATGAGAAAAATGAGGCAAAAAGGAAAATTCTGGGAACTCATTCTTGTCAATCTCTGGGCTCCATGCCTGACAGTCTCCTCTCCACTTTCTAAGAGTCATTGTGTGCTTGATTTATACATAGTACAAAGGGTTTTCATTTGTACTTGGAAAAGGAAGAGAATATGTAATCCATCATCAGAGAAACAAATGTGGACATTATTTGTGTATTATTTTTTCATTTTCCTTCATTTCAAATTATTTTCTAATGTCCATATTATTTTTCTTTGGGCCATTGTAAATTTAGAACTATGTTGTTCAGTTTTCAACATAATTTGGAGATTCCCAGATTTGTGTGTTTTACAATGTCACTTGTCATAGTAATAATTGGTATAATCTGCCTAGAATGATAGAAGCAGTTTCTTCACCAACTGTCTCTGTGTCCTGCATTACTTGTCAGAGATGTGGTTCTGATTTTATGTATTTCCTTTTATGGTTATCTGTCTATGGTCTATGGGTTAATGCAAGAATCAGTTTTTATATCTTCAACTTAAGTTAATGTTGACTTACTCTTTGTATATGAGGGTTTGTTCCAGTGTTCAATAATTATTATATCTTTCAATTTATTATGCATTGATTTCCAAAAGCATAATCTTAAAGACCTTAACTACTTTTTTTGGTTAACTTGACAATGTTTATTAATAATTAAATATTTTTAGTTTCTTCTTTGATGTGATGAAATAGTAATTATTATATTATATGCGAGGTAGGCGTTTAAGGCCACTAAGCTAAATTCCGAGCTTCTCTGAGTCTTATTTTCATGTTTTGTAAGCACGGTATTGAGAAGATCTAAATTTACTGCCAGCACATGTCGAGTTGTATATTCCTACCTTTTGTGCTCATGAGATTCATTTCTCACATGAAACTAAAAACCTAAGTTTAGATCAGGGTTTTGAAAAGACAGAAGTATTTGTTTGCTGTGTGTCAGAACTATTTTTTTTTTTTTTGAGACAGTGTCTCACTCTGTAATTGAGGTTTGTTTTGAACTTACTATGTAGCCCAGGCTGGCCTCAAATTTGCGGTAACCCTTAGCCTAAGCCTCCTGAGTGCCGAATTGCAGCATATGCCATCCTGCCAAGCAGCACTTTTTATACAAGCCCTCATCTCTGCTCCTTCTTGCAAATGATGCTGAAGGATCACTTGAAGACAAAGAAATAGTAACTGGCACAATACAGGCTATCACTTAATATCTGATGTGAATGCCTGCTTTCCCTGCTCTGTCAGAGTATATCCCATAGAGGAATAGAATTCTAGATTTAGTGCACACTTTAAAGCAGTACTTTTGTGTATGTGTGAAAACACAAGAATAGGAATGATGTGACAAATTTTAGCAGAACGTTAAGTTTTTTAAAATAAAATGATAAAACAGTAAATGTACACTTACTGGCTTGGGAAAATCTTTATGCTGATGTTTGGTGATGTATATTCTATTACTATCTGAAGTATGACCTTGATCTCATTATGTGACATGAGTAACTCTAACTGTGTGCTTTGAATGTTTAGGGAGGTGACTGGAACAATGGCCACCCAGATATTAAACATGTTAATTCTGAGTGGTTTTCACTTTCCTTTTTCAACTCTTTTTTTTTAATGCTTTTCCCCAGCGATCTCACATTGTTATCCAAATTCTATAAAGTTATTTTTTTAATTATTATTTTGAAAAGAATAAAACCAAATGAGAAAAAAACCCAAGAAACAAAATGGGGTCATTCAAAACAAAAAGGACATAGTATGTGATTTAAAACCACAATACAAGGTGATCTACAATGGTTACCATGATGTCTCTTGTTATCTTCAATAGAATTTTCCATATCATCAGGTACAATACAATTGAATATAGCAGTACAGAACAAAATCAATAAAAACAAAACATTGGAGACATAGGACTTCAAAAGAGGGTAACAGTCAAACCAGAATGGGTATTGTAGTGAATCTTACGTCCTCAGAGTAGTTGCCTATACTCTCAGACTTGATACTATCAAACATAACAGATTCAAATAAAATCAGTCAAGACAAGATGGCAATTGAACAAGACAGATTCAAATAAAATCAGTCGAAACAAGGCAATAAAGGCAAAACAGGTTTCAAATTAAGTTAATAGGAAATTAAAAGTGGCTACTGTAGTATATCCTGCTATCTTTGGAATAGCTGTCTGTGCCCTCAAATCTAGTATAAGTAGACAAACTGGAGCAGAATATAACCAAACTAAACAGAGTGATGAAAGCAATATGGATTTCAAATCATGATACAAGATTACCAATGTCCTCTGCCTTCCCTATTTAGACATTTCCTCCCCTTCCACTTTCTCAGGGTGCATTGTACATTTTATATCCCACTGACTCCTTTAGTTTTTAGATTGGGGAGGCAACCCGCTATTTACCTAAGTGATTCTGAACCTTTTTACTCCTGAGCTTGGTCTCAAGTTGCATCCATTTTCCTACAAGAGCCTCAAGGTTTTCCTTCTCTATAGCTGAGTAGTTCTCCATTGTATAATAGTGTTATGTCTTTACAACCGATCTGCAGCTGATGGATGAGCTACCTCCACTTTTTTCTGGTTCCCTGTCACATAGAGCATTATTTTCTCATTGTTGACTTTCAGTCCATAAACCTTCTTTCAGTTTAAATATATTTCCTATGTAGAGCATCTTGATGGACCCTATCTCCTGATCCACTGTCTGTGTTTCTTTTTATTAGTGTATCGAGACTATCCATGTTAGTGATTGTGGCCAACCTTCTCTGCCTCATCTCTGCCATGCTATTTTTCTGCTGTTGGTTGTCTACTTTTCCCCTTCACTGACTGTCTGCCCATTCAGTGAGCCTCCTCTGTTGCTCTTCTTGAAATTGTGGTCTTTTTCTCTCTCTCTAGCATGTCTTTCAGTATTTTTTGTACAGTTGGATTGTTGGTCATGAACTCCTCCAGTTCCTTTTTGTATGGAAGCATCATGTTTCTCCATTAATTTGAGAGATAGTTTTGCAAGGTGCATCAATCTGGGTTTCAGGTTATTTTTTTTCAGGGCTTGAAATACTTTGCTCCAAGATCTTCTTGATTTGATGGTTTGTGCTGAGAAGTCTGTCATGATTTTGATGTGTTTTCCTTTATAGGTGATCTATTGATTTTCTCTGATGGCTTTTAATGTTCTGTTCTTGTGTTGAATTTCTGGGATCTTGATTATTACATGTCTGGGTATAGATCTATTTTGGTTATAGCTGGCTAGAGTTCTGTATGCCTCATAACATTTCCTTTTCCTATGCTTGGGAAGTTTTCTTTAATTATTTCTGTAAATAGCCTTTGTATTTCATTTGTGTGTACCCCTGCTTCTTCACTCACATCTTTTGTTCTTAAGTTATAGATCCTCATGTCATCTTCTAGCCTTTGTATTGTTACTTCTTGGTTCCTTGTCATTTTTAAGAGATCTTTCCTTTCGTGATCACACATTGCAAACCTGTCTTCAAGGTTTGATAGTCTATTTTTAGTTTCTTTCAAGCAGTTTTGCCAGCTTTCAATGGAGTTTTTAATTTTCTGGTAGTCTCTTTGAATCTGTTTCATGTATTCTAGATTTTTTTTATAGTCTTCATAGAAGGTTTCTCTCTTTTCTGTGCCCTTCCATTCTTCCATTTGTGCCTTCTTGAGAGGTACTTAGCATTTCTTTTATTATTTTTCTTATATCTTCCTTTACTTGTATTAGAATTTGTGTTTTTAGTTCTTTTATAATGTCACGAAGATGATTCTTTATGTCAGATACTGCTTTTTCCAACACTGCAGGTGTGCAACCCCGATCTCTTCTGTGTTTACCTACCCCAGGCCAGTAATGTTTGTGTTGGAGGCTGGAGATTTCCTTTTGTTTCTTCCTCTTGTCATGTTTCTGGTTTCCTCCAGACAATAAACAGTGGGGGTCATCTGCACTTCCTGTATTGGCCACGATTACTCTGAAGCATGCTGGCTAGGGATTGCTGCCCTCCCCAGTCTGCTGATGACTGCTGAAGTACAAGCAGGGGTGAGGTAGGCTTTGCCCTCCTTTCTGAGCTGGTCACAGCTCTGGGAGTCTTCATCACATTAGTGTTTGCCGTGTAGATGGCTCTGGTGAGGGATAGTTTCAGGAAACCTCATCCTTTGCTACTGGATTGCACACAGAGGCAGGACTCAGTTCAAGAAATTCTCACCAGTGTACGCTGCACTAGGAGTGGTTGACTGAAGCTGCTGCAGTTGTGGTTCTGGGCTTGTCCTGCCTGACTCCAAAATGTCACCTGGCCAGTCACCCACTCTTGCGGGAGGATTAAGTTCCTCACACTCACTGCAGGCCCATACAGATCTCCAAGCTGAGTGCTGCTCTCCATTCTGCCGCTCCCTTCCACAACCACTTCCTCCTGCTGAGGCCCTCAGGCTCCATAACCTCCAGCTTCACCACGACCATGCATTTCCAGATTCCAGCAGCGTTTCATACACAATGGGACTGGCTCTGGTGAGAGCGAGTCTGGCTACAGAAAAGATCCACGATTTCCTTTCCTTTTTTTTTTTTTCTTTCCTTTTAGTTTATTCCTGGGTTGACAGGATCCATCTCCCTCTGTCTGGTCTTCTCCAGGATGTTTTATTCCAGCATCTGAGCTGTTTCTCTCAGACAGGCTTCCCTATTTTGCTGCTTACTAATCTGCCATCTTCCCAGCCTCCCAATAAAAGTCTGAAGTTATTGTTTAAAAATCTTGTTTTTTTCCCCTTTATTTTTGTTCTTTAAAAAGTGGATTGCAGACTGGGAAGGATTAGTTAATTAAATCTTCTGCCTGGTCCTTGAATGAACACAGGAACTATTCTTCCATTTCATTTCAGTTTTTAAAGTAATAATTTTAATAAAAAATTCTAAGATCTAAGTGAAGTGTTATCAAATGTTTCTACAAATATTTATATTTCTGTATTAATTAACATCACATTTTAATTATATTCTTTTATCAGGTCTTTTTTTTTCTCAGGCCTAAGGATTGAACCCAGAGTTCACCCCAGCCCTTTTTGTTATTTTGAAACAGGATTTTGCTAGATCACTAAGTTCCCCAGGCAGAATTCAAAGTCATAGTCCTCCTGTGTGAGTCTCTCTCCACATGCTGGGGTTACTGGTATTTGTCACTGTGCCTGACTTCATGTTTAGCTTTTAGTTATTTATACTACAGAGTTGATTGCTATAACTTTCTGTGTGTGTGTGTGTGTGTGTGTGTGTATATATATATATATATATATATATATATATATGTATATAATTTTTAAATGATTGTTTCCCAAATGAGATGATTTAAATAAATATGCCAAAATCTTATAATGTCAAAGGCAACTATTATAAAATGATATTTTGGAAAAACTATAATGAAGGGAATATATTTTCTTCCATTATCTCTTTTGTAGGTAGTCCTAGCTTACTGGTATCGTGCATTCATAGGAATAATGAATTTATTTGGAATACAAACTAAGGCCTGCTGGAATGTGACCAGAGAAGGATTTCCTAGAGAAGTTGAGAGCTGTGAAGGTCTGTGTCTCTCTCCAACCCTGCTGTAGTGTCCTTAGGGCTTTCATAACCACAAGAATCACTGTATGTAAACAGCTATGGCTCACGTTTTCCTTTAAACAACACTACAAATGATTTTTTTTAAGTTCCTATTAGTAATCTTTATTTTGTAAGAAGTATTGGTCCATAGAACATTTTCAGATACAGTTACTCTTTATTGCATTCCTTCATTTGCAATAAACAATATAATTATGTTTTTCAATATAGTTTTGGACAGAACACAAAGACATTAACCTACTTTAACAAGAGACACAAGTTAATACAATGTGTGCTACTTTCATAGGAAGAGAAAGGGGCAAGACTGCAAAGACAGGGAATCCAGGATACTGGCCACCAGGAATCATAGAGTTCACAGTATAATCCACTGTTTTAAAAGCCACAAAATAAGCGATGATGAAAACCCCCAAGTACACAAAGAGCAAGATTTGGAGATGATTTGCCCTCTACCAGGAGGACAGATGACAGAGCCACACCCAAGTTCTGCTGCAGCAACAAGCCTCTCACGCAGCGTGTGTGACACAGGTGCTTTGGGATGGCTTCCAATTGCTTGTCCTCAAGTTTTAAGCAGCAGTGGTGAGAGTAGCATGCTCTGCAAACCTTATCACCAAAAAGAATGACCTAATTAAACTGCTTCTAATTCAGTGATGAGATATAGCACCTTCCAAAGGACTCAATGAACTCTTTTACCCTTCAAAAGAAATGTGTGGAAGGTAAAGGAAATGCCCTCAAACCATTTGGATGAAGCACTACTTTCAAAACATGGATATTAAAGGACTGTTGAGGGGAGTAGGCTAAAAAGTGGTTTATTTTTTGGATGACAGTGTTTTTTATTTTCATGTCAAATAGCACAGAGAATTTGAAATACAGGAATGACATTCTAAGTAAGTCATTGGGCTAAGGAAAAAAGAAAAGTGGTAATACTAATAAGCCTTTAATATTATCCTAAGGAACTGACCCACTTAAGAGTTGGACACTAATTAGTGCTGAGAGGTTTGTAAATTACTTTATTTTAATAACTCCTTTCTGTTTAGGGATGTACATTTTTCTATACATAAAATTTTTTAGGAGCATCTCCAAGTGGTAATGATTAGCATATCTCTTACCACAGAGCAAATTAATTACACTAAGGGAATGTCACAGTCAACACAGTATTAATTTTTTTTAGTAAGAAAGATCTGATTGCAGCCTGAAAATATCTTTGAAAATGAGTGAAAATGGGATCTTGGATATTGAAAGCCTTGTTTCTTCAAGCAAAGATAACCTATTTTGTGGGAGAACCTTTAAAACTAATACCCAGTTACCTTTAGTGTTAGCACAGAGAAGCTATAACAGAATTCCTCAGAAGCCACACCTCTACTCATTGCTCCTGCTTTGCATGTAAAAGTCTTCCTTTGAATAGGCAAGTGCTGCTTTGCAACATTCGTTACATATAATGAGAGTTTTGGATGAATGGTAGTGGTACGGAGCTTTAAATGTGTAGTGTGCACAAATACAGCACGTCTCCCACACACAGATTCTGAGTAAGAAGGAGTCATCTTAGCTTGTATGGAAAGGCAAGTATAGCATTCTAAAGCAAGTTTACACCTTCCACAAAACACTAGAATATCTCAGTAAGCATAGAAAGGGAGTATTATTGCATTAATCATGCAAAGCAAGTGAGCACATGTTGAAGGTGGTTCACTTAGTTTAGTTATCTTGAGCAAGATGAATGAAGATTCCAGGCCATCTTTAACTTGGTCACTTCCTTTGGTCACTGTGTTGCAAGTAGTCCACTTTCAAAGTCAAGGGGGCTAGCTCCTTCTTCTCTTAAGAGGGCCAAGAATTTTTTCACACGATAGTCAGGGTCCATCTGCAGGGACATCTCGATCAGCATTAGCAACTTCTTGATTCCTGCCCAGACTTTCTTCCCTTTGACTTGTGAAATTGTGGTATGTTCCTTATCGTTGAAGTTGCCCAAAAGCTCTAAAGCTTCCAACAGCTGCTCTCCTGTGGCAATATTAGGCACATGGATGGTGGTGCTAAAAGCATTAAGCATTTCCATTTCCTGAAGGACATCTATGCGGCTAGTGGTCCCAATGATAAGAAGCTTGCAGCCCTGAGGTGGTGCTTTTTTCAGTACCACAAGAAGAGCCTGTAATACCAAATTAGAAAACCGGGGGCCAATGGCGACATAATCAAGTAATCTCTCAATGTCATCCACAACCACACAGCTGAGCTGAGATTTGTATGCATCATCAAAGATCTTTTTCATGGCCTGACACTTACAAGTCTCATAAAAGCCAATCATCTTATTAGGAGAACAGATCTTGATGAAGCGCAAGTTGGATTCCTCTGCACTCTTTGCAGCTAAAGCAGTCTTCCCACTGTGAGGAGGGCCTTCCAAAAGGACGCTGACCAATGGTGTACGATCACTGTTTTTAGTCTGCTGGACCAAAAGCTCCCCATCATCCAGAACTCGAGTAACTGGATCACCCCACTTGATAATTCCATTCATAATGTAACTTGCATAATCCTCTTGGTTTGTGCCAAATGCTGGTTTGATACCATTCTCCAATGAAGCAAGGAAGTCTCCTCTTGTTACCTTCAGGCTCTCTGCTTTCTCTATGTCCACTTCCACTTTTGTACTGGCCTTTATATGTCTGTTCATAGCAGTGGACTGTGCTGCTCGCACCAGACCCTCCAGTTCAGCACCACTGAAATTCTTGGTCTCCACAGCCAGTTCTTTAATATCTACATCAGTAGAGAGCAATTGATGGTCTCTCATCCTTGCTGTGTGGATGTGAAGGATCTGTAGTCGACCTTTCTCATCTGGCAAGCCTATCTCCATTTTGACTTCCAGTCTTCCAGGTTGAAGGAGAGCCTCATCAATCAGATCTGGTCTATTGGTCATTCCAATGACAAGGATGTTGTTCAGCTGCTCTACCCCATCAATTTTGGACAACAACTGATTGACAACAGTGTTGTGAATCCCAGTGCTACCAGCCATGCTCCCTCTCTGTTTGCAGATGGCATCAATTTCATCAAAGATGATGATGTGCAAACCAGTGTTAGCACCAAGCCTCCTTTGCTCCTCTTCAGCATCAGCAAAAAGTTTGTGAATGTTAGCCTCTGATTCACCCACATATTTGTTAAGATTTTCTGGTCCATTGACCACTTTGGGCTCTCTTGCATTCAACATCTTGCCAATCTGTAGAGCCAAGAGAGTCTTACCACATCCTGGGGGCCCATATAACAGGATGCCTTTAACATGTTTACAACCCATCTGTTCCACAATCTCTGGAGGAAATACTCGGGAAGCAAATGCTCGTCGAAAAATATCTGAAAATTCTTTGTCCAGACCTCCTATTCCCATTTTTTCAAAGTTCCAATCAGGATTGATAATAGACTGGCGATTTTCCTTGGTTTTAGCTTTGCCAATAAGATTGAGTGATGATTTTTCTGCTTTTTCAAATGCAACTTGACTGTTTCCAACAACCAGTCCTACTTCAATCTTCTGTCTTTTACCTGTCACAGCCTCTCCTTTCAAGATGCTAGGATCCATGGCTTCAATATCCTTCACCAATAAGCCAAAAAGCTTTTCATTGAAGCTAAACACAAGCTGCTGTCCCACTGAGAAGGCCTGGTTGTTGAACTGCTGAATAAACTCTGCTGCCATCTTGTCAGTATCATAAGGATTGGAGTCAATGCTTTTTTTCTGCAGGAAATCAATCTCGATGGTCATTGTGCCAATACACTGTTTGGCTTTGTCAAATGTATATAAAGAGACTTCTATTTCTTGTCCAATAGAAAGTCCAGCCCATTTTCGCTGGGGTAAGCTGAATGCAGTGCTCCCTGGAACCACTGACGGATGGGTCCTCAGAGTAAAAGTGAACTTGTGATTAGAAGAGGTTCTCACAACCACATGCTGGTTGGACTGAAAATCTGTTTCGTTTACAACTGCACAGTTGGTTAAAGATAATTCATCTGTAGGACATCTTGCAGCTTGCATAAGCCGGGCCGCCATCTTCGCGGACACGTTCCGCTTCCAAATGATTAATCTCAATGATTATTTTACCCTTCAGTTTTCTGAGAAAGCTCTATAGTTGCTAATTTGAATGAAAATATAGAATTTAATTTGTGTACATAGTCCAGTATCAGGCAAACTTGAGTAAAAGTGTCCCATATCAGTACAAAATAGTACAAATAAGAGTGTTTTAGGTTACTTCAGTATATAAACTTTAGGGATCAATTAGTAAAATATGTACTTGCAATAGTGTATTAAGGAAATAGTATTAACATATTTAAAAATCAGATTCAGATTGTAGCAACAACGTTGCTTTATAACATGCTCACAGCCTGGTAGATAATTTTAGCCAGACCCTTTCTATGTACCTTCTACATTGGTGTCTTTGTCAAATAACCTCTTTGAGACTTCTGAAAGTTCTCCAGGACACGCAGTGCTCACTGCTGTTTAAGATGTGTGCAGTTATACTTTTTGACAACCCAAGGATGATGCTGTCCCTTGCAACTCCAGAGAAAGCATAGCACATACAAAGTTGTTGCTTTATTTTTTCTACTCTTCACATGACTATTTACTGTATTTTATAAATCTGGTTTTATAGATTTGTTTATAAGAACATCCAACTCTGAGAATATAAGCTAACTCTATATTTCCCATATATGTTTCCCTTATATGTTTCCCTTTAGGTGATCTTTATAAAATCTAAAAGTAATTGACAGAAGATATCTGAGGGGCCATTAGACATTTTGTTTGTTTGTTTACAACATAAAGGAATGGAGAAAATATCTTGTAAATTGAGAGAGTTGGTACTGTCCTGGTCAGCTAGAAGGTATAACCTTTTCTGAGAGATTAAAGCATCACCTTTTATTTTATATGGAAATATATGATATTTCTGAAGTTCCCAGTAAGTGACAAGTTAGAATTTGGCACTTAGAATGCAGCAGCAGCCCAGTGCATTTGGCCCATATCCTCGTGGAGTCTGTACTATGAGAGGGCTCTTAGCAGTTGTAACTGTGATGGATATTACAAGTAGGAAAATAGGATTGTGGAGAGAATATTTCAGGAGTAGGGAGTAGCAGAAGTCCTGTGGCAACAGTTATCTGAGAAAAGTCTGGATTTTTTGGGACAGAAGAAAGGAAGCGAAGTGGTGTGATATGCTGGGAGTACAACACAGGATGGGCCATGTGGTGGGGAAGAGTTTGTACTTTATTCACTGAGGAACTTTAACAGATTCTTACATTGAGCATTATTTTTCTGGTTGAATGGAAAGATTACCATTGGGTTTCATGAGACCATAGACTACTGTACTCTCAGCATACAATCTCTGTAGAAGGCGTCTGGAAAGTGCTAGGTCTTGGAAGGCAACTTGGAAATAGAATCAACAAGACGTGGTAACTGATGAGAGGGAGGCAGGAAAGTGAAGAGTCCTGTAACTCTGCCTGGTTTCAACCTTGCATAACTGAGTCCTTTGAATAGCAGTAAATATGACAAGTACAGGTGTGAATAGCTATGATTCACTGTGAATGTGTGAGCTTGAGATGTCACGTGACTACCTGGGTAGATAACTCTAGGAATAAGAAGAATGTTTGGACTCACCTCTCTGTAGATGATACTTGGGGCTACAGAAGTGGAAGAATTAAGGAGAATATGTATATAGTGAGAAGAGAAGAAAGCAGATGACAGAGGCCAAGGAGATCCAGTGTTCAAGGCAGGGTTCACAAACAAGAGAAGTTACAGGACAGACTGAAAGGAGTGACCAGGGAGGTAGGAGGTATCACAGGGGCCAGCCTTCAGGTCTTGGCTCCAACAGTGAGATATGAGAAACTTTAGGCAAATTACCTAAATTCTCTATGACTTGTTTTCTCAGACAAAACTTATATGCCAATTATTCACATCAATTTTGTCTGAGGACTATGTGAAATGATCAAACAAGAAGTACTATACACACAGTCTTACACAGTAAGTCCCCAAGTTACAAATCAGTTCCATTCCTGGAGGACATTTGTAAATCAGATTCATTCATAAGTCCAACAAAGTGAATTTTATAACGTTTGACACAAGTATACAAATGTAAGGCATAAAAAAAACCTAAATGCAAGGTCTGTTTATATCTGTGAAAGATCACAACTTGAATACTCATAATACTTGACTACTCATGGGACGTACTATATATAGGATGTATTAAGCCTCTAGCTCTTGATAGTAATGGATCAAGTAACTAGATCATCTCCAGGAGACTAAAGCTGCTCCTTGGGGTAAGAGACTTTGTCTTACTTATCTTGGAGCCTAGAAAAGATAAAAGTAATGCAGTGGCATTTTCTTGGAAGTCATCAAAGGGCTCCAAACACTGAGCAATAGCAACAGCATCTTTGTTAGTAAGAAGCCCAAACAGTTATCTCAATACAAAAAAAGTATATTCGAGGAACTTATAAACATAACTAGATAGTGTATTATGGAGCTGGAGATGTAGCTCCATGTAGAGCTCCTGCACAGAATGCACAAGGCACAGGGTTTGATCCATAACGACAACCCCCTTGTCACACACACACACACACCCCTTTTTTTGGGTAAACACTGGTGCAGCTATGAAAGAGGATATCAGTCTGAAAGCAAATGTTTTCAGCAAATTCATGAACTTTTGAGTTAAAAGCATTGAGATAAGTGTTCCCCTTGCTTTATAGCCATTTTCTCACTAAATAATGAATAATCTGTGTCTTTTCAAAGGATTGGGAGACCCTGCTTACTTTTATGTGGATGTAATTTTTATCTTAAATGGACTAATGGTGGGATTGCTGTTCATCTATGCTGCGTATCTGAGGTAAGATCCTACTGAATTTATAAGCACTGACCAATAATTGTTGATTAAATTAAAAGGAGAATAAATGAGATTTACTGATTAATCATAAGAACATTTGTAGATTTATTTGACTTTTCAGTTGCTTAGCCAGTATCATGCATTCCAAACCTGGAAATGTCACTTTAAAAATACATTAAGTAAGACCTTCATTTTTTCCCATTTTAAATTACAATTTCTCTGCCAGAGTTTTAATGAAAAATACCTTTCTTTGTGAAATTATTACATTAGAGGGATCTGTGGTTAGCATTAGTTAGTTTATCTTCATTTTTATTCTCTGTGAGATTAAGAAAACTAAAAAGAACTGAGCATCACTTATAGCAGACACTGGTATTTGTTAGCCTTCCTTGGTAACAGCACCACAACTCTGGAGGAACAGTGTGCCCAGTCTCAGATGATAAGGTGAGGTTAATTTTGACAAACGTGTTTCACTCCCAGTCTTCATGGCTCCTTGGAAGAGCCATATGAGCTAGTTTTGACAGTGACAAATAAGGGACCTCAGAAAGCATTTGCCTTTCTCACAAAAGGGTGTATTTAGCTATCACTTTGCTGTTTCTTCCTACTTTTACTTGGAGCTGCAGCCATGAGTTTGTGGCCATGAGGGGAAGTTTACAAAAATAACGGACATATTATTATGCTGCTAAACAGACACTTTTTATTTTTCTGTTGAATGAGATAATAAACATCCATACTGTCTAAGCCAGTTCTGTCAGATTTTTTGTTTCCTTCAGTGAAATGTATTTAAGTCATCAGTTTTCTTTACTATGTTACAATGAAATTCAAAACACTGAGCATTAGGAAATCTAGATTTAATTGTCCAACAAATATTTATATAGAATTTATATCAATACAGAGGTTATATGTTAGATAAACAATGACAACCCAGTAAAGAACATAACCAGCCTGAATTTGAGGTTCTGGGTGAGACCTCCTTGAGTAATTCCAAAGAGGAGTCTGAGTCAATTTTTTTGAGCTAATTATGGATAGGATTGGGGGATGGTATAACTGAGGTAGGGTAAAGGTGGGCATGAGGTTGGGGGAGCAAAGGTAGCTGAGTACATGACCATAGCAACAGCTAGTGTTCTGTTCTGGGTGTGCTGTGACCAGGCCAGCGGAGCAGGTGTGCTGCATCCCAGCAGAGTGCATGTGGAGGTTGTGGGATGTGGGAACCACTCTGGTCATTTGCAGAGCTCGGGCACTTGCTCAGTGAGCTTGGGCAGCGGGGGGTCAGAGCTATCTGTGTGTACTCTTTGTTTTAGGGAGTTTTTGACCTAAAAGGATGGGCATAGAATTAGTGAAATTTAGTGATACATTTAATATTGTAATGGATATCCTATCAGCACATCAGGCTAAACAATGTACAAGGCTCAGAAAACTTGACAAGAAAAGTAAATATTTTTGAAAATAAGTTCACATTGTTGTGTATGTAGACAATAAAAACAATTGTAAAGTATTTGAAACAACTAGATAATTTATGATGTTACCTGAACACAAAAAATTAATACATAAAATTGTAAGTTCCATGCACTAACATCAAAGAAAAAGTGAAATTTTAAAAAGATACTATTTAAAATAGCATTAAAGGGGCTGGGAATTTAGCTCACCGGCATAAGCACCTTCCTGGCAAGCATGAGCTTGTGAGTTCAATCCCCAGGACTAAAAACGGAAAAAAAAAGAAAAGGGGGCTGGGAATTTACCTCAGCAGCATATGTGCCTGCCTTGCAAATGCGACGTCATGAATTTGATCCCCAGTACCCATAAAAAATAAATAAGTAAAATAGCATTAAAATCATGAAGTCTTAAGAATAAATCTAACAATGGATAGATATGACTTTCATGAGAAAACTGTTAAAAGTTTATTGAGATGCATTTAAGAAAATCAAAATAAATGGAGCAATATGCTGTGTTAACTGATGGGAAGATGACAGTTATCCCACACTGATTTACAGATGCTGTGCTCTACCAGTCAACACTGTGACATAATTCTGTTGATGCTTATGAACTGATTTTATAGTTATTTAGAAATGCAAAGGACGAGATATAATTAGATTTTTGGAAAAGTTAAAACTTGCTTTGTCATTTCTGTATCATAATGCTAATATAAATAAGACCACACACTAGACAAAGAGATCACAGGAATGGAGTAGAGACCAGACTTGGAAATATACATTTAAAGACACTTGGGGTATGACAGAGCAGATATTGTAGACTGGTGGAGTAAAGACAGACTTTTCATAAATAGTGTTGGACCTGTATATTGATAATTCCAGAGTCAGGATAATGGCCGTCTCAGGAGGGTCCAACAGGGACTTAAGGTATAATCATTTCTCTATTTCAGTTACATATATACTAGCTACATGGGTGTTCAATTCATAATTGTTCTAAAATAAGAGATTTTGCATACTTTTCTATGTCCCTTATTGGAAGACTTTGGAGACAGCTTTCGAATAAGTTTTATCAGGTGTAAGTGTTGTATTTGTGAAAATAGTTTACACTTATTTCCTTTTTAATGTGGAAAACATTACACAGCTATGACTAAAACTTTTAAATCAGTATTTTTCACTAGGAGGGCTACCAAGAGTATATGCCTCTCTAAACTGGCTACAATTTCTGAATATCTAATATTCTGAATATCTAATACATTACTAGTCTCCAATTTTTAAGAAGGATATGTGGATGTAATTGTTATGAACTATAAAAATGTCACTAGAACTGTGATGAGATTGGAAACAACTATTTGAGAAACAAAAGAAATAGAAATTTAAAGACACTCTGTTTCTGTTCCTCAAGTGAATAACCATAAAATGTTAATGTGCACATTTAACTTGATTAAATCTGAAAGGAATCCTTATCTTTTCCGACCTCTGCAGTACATGGCATTGTAGGATGCTGTCCCGAAACACCCTCTCATGACCTAAAAGTTAGTGCCGTAGTCAGTGCTCCTGTCACCCGCCCAGCAGCACTATCGTTACATTTTGGGGGTTGCCACAGGTTTTAGTTCATCCTCGTGTCCACAGTTCCTGTGTGCACAGCCTGTCCTTGATCTCGCGCCTTCCTTCTTTCAGTTTCTTCCTTTTTGAGGTGCACGTGTTGAATTTCATGTAGTGAGAGTCTGTTGATGGTCACCCCTTCCCAGCCGCTTTCCTCAGCTTGTATTTTTTTCACTCCTTCCCTCCTCCTTTTCTCCATCCAGCCACCCAGAACTCACTGTCTCCTGAATGTGGATCGCGGGCCTGGATGTGGGACCACACACCCATAGCCCAGGAAGGCAGCTGCGCAGTGCCTGTTACTCTCGGACGGGTACTGGTTGCCCTCGTACAGTCACTGCTTCCTTCAGACTCAACAAAAGGATGTGTACAGTCACTTCCTTCTGTTACAGTTAAACACACTCAACTGTGTTTCTCAGTCAGTGAAACTCAATTTCAAAAGACAAAATTGCCTCCATTTAGATTATTCAAATACTGTGACGTAGACTGAAGTGCTAGTCTGTTGGTTTAAAAGAATGTTTTTTATACTAGTGATTGAACTCAGACTAGGTTCCAATTTATAATCTTCCTGCCTTGGCTTTCTACATTGCTGGAATTATAGATGTGTACCACCGTGCATGACTTGTTAAAAATTACTTATGTTCACAAATTACATATTTTATCTAGAATACATTTTAAATATAAAGTGTAGATTGTATCACATGTGAAATTTATGTGCTTTACTTTCAAGATTAAAACAATGACTCTTGAAATTTTTACTTAAGTACAGAAAAATGATTTTAAATTCTGAGATAATTTTTTAAGAATCTCACCTTATTTTACCTGAATTATGATTTCATACTTTTTTTTTTACAGTGAGACTCAAGTAGGAGGTCTAATTACAGTACTGTGCTACTTTTTCAACCACGGAGAGGTTTGTTTTATGGAAAGTAATTTTTAAGTACAAGAGAGGCTATATAAGAACAAGGAACTATCATTAAAAAATATATAGTTGCATATTAATTGTGGCTTGACAATATTTGATAGAATATTATGATGTAACTTGATATTTTAATTGTGTTGATCTAAATTTTTGAATCATTAGAGGTTAAAATATGTAGAATAGCTTGCCTGGTCTTTAGTGAGTATTCTATACACGTATGTTCAGTAGAACAAAGGAAATACTGTACTTCTTGAGTCAGACGCTTTACATTATTGTATTTACTACTAGCAGACTTAGAGGTTGCTATCATCACCGCACACATTCTGACACTGACTGTTACAGTGCTTAGGTTACTTACCCAAGAGGGTACATTCTGTACCTTATGAAACAGGTTCTTCTCTCCCCCAATACTGAGGATTGAACCCAGGGCCTGCACACTGAACTATACATCGTTAGACTGGGCTCAAGCTTGCCGTCCTCCTGCCTCAGCCTCCCAGAGTGCCGAGATTATGAGTGTGCCACCATGTGTGGCTACTTTTCTCGTTAATAATATTGCATTTTTTGTAATGTGGTAAGAGCACTTAACATAATACATGCCCACTTAACAGATTTACAGCCTTGTAATAGAGTATTATTAACAAAACCTTGTGCTCTAACATGTGTTCATCTTGCTTAGGTGAAACATTATGTGCTTGTACTTCTCCAGGGTTGGAAGCTACCCTGGAATCTCACCAGGAGTACAAAGCCGACCTACCACCTTGCTCTATGTCATCATGACACAAACTGTTGAATTAAAAGTAGAAATTTAGTTACTAATTCATCCCGAAGGAATGTAGTCCTCCAAAAAAGAGCTCATAGAAACTATGATGGATTCCCTGAACAAAATGTTGCATGTATACAAACCATGTGCTCAACTGTGAGCTACTGAGGACATGGCAGTGAGAGAGAAAACCTGACACCTCTTGAAAGCAGACTAGGTACTGTGTTATACAGGTTATATAGGCTGGAAGTCTTTATGTGTTGCTAGTGGATTAAGTCTTAAATCAGACAAAAGAATAATAAGAACTATACAAAAATGGTTTCAATCTATTATTTCAACCTAAAGCAAATAAATACACAGTTAAATAATCCGTTGACATAAAAAGAAAGCCTTGTATTTGAGTATTTGAATGCTTGGGTTACTTACCCAAGATTGTACATTCTCTACTTTATGAAACAGGTTCCTCTCTCCCCCCAGTACTGAGCATATTAGACTCCTGATGGTATGCATTAACTTTTTATTTCAATTTTAATTCATCTTCCAAGGTTTACAATTTGGGTTTCTTAGAACAGTAATTTTTCAAAACCCTTAGAGAGTACTGTAATAAGATTTTAAATCCTTTCAAGAATTTTTGACACAAAATTTTTATCACACTCTTACCTGTTTGTCTTAGACATTGTCTTAAAATATACATGCATATTTAATACTTACATTCTGTGTATCACATTACTGATATTATGTGCCTTCCATTAGTAATTATTATTACTTCCAGTTGTCTTTAAAATTTACAGCTAACTCTTTTAAAGATGTATGCACACACTCAGAGAAGATCTTGACTACTTGTGCAGCCTGGACTTGTTATATGTAAAATCTTGGTGTTGGCGGTGACACCTGTTTGAGTATTGTTCCAGGTCTGAAGCCCAAGGCCCAGTACATAAGGCTGGACTGTGAATCTGGCCTGGGAATCCTCACAGTCCCCGTCTCTGCCCCCATCTTGTTGGTCTCTGGGAAATGCTTTTGCTTGGTCCCATAGAACTGGCACTTGTTCTGGGCTTAGAGGCTGGTCATTCTACTCTGGTCCCATGTGAGGAGCTCCAAGCTTTGCCTGCTTTCAGAAGTAGGATCCCGTGGACATGGGGTTAAGGTGCCAGAAGAAGCCAGCCCCTGTGCTAGGCAGATGATGTTTGCTGTCATGGGCCCACCGTGAACCCAGACTTCCATTCATCTCAGGCCACGCGTGTGATGTGGACGCCGCCTCTCCGCGAAAGCTTTGCATATCCGTTCCTGGTGCTTCAGATGTATATTTTAACCATGATTCTCAGGTAATTTTGATTTATAAAGCACAGCTAAGTAAATTCAAGTTAAGTTTCTTAAAATTTCATCAGCCTGTTGTAATTGCTTTATTTAGGGTGTGTTTTTAGTTATTTTAAAAATAAACCAAGCTTAGAGTTAAGGTAATCCAACATTTACTATGTGAATTTGATCTCCATTTAGCTGTTCAGGCTACAGGTTTTAGATGACTATATTGTAAAAAATAAAAATATATGTTTATTTATGATTTGCAATGATGCAACAGTTTTTTTGTTTTGTTTGTTTTTTGGGGAGATACCATGACTCTCACTCAGGACCTCATGCTTGCCAAGCAGGCACTGTGTCACTGAGCCAAATCCTGGCCCAAGGCAACAGTTTTTGAAAAATACTTATTTTTGTTCAGAGTTTATATACTCTGACTCACTGCTTCCCAAACCCTGTTTTGGTGGAACATTCATATATGAGCCATGAAAAAATTGTACTGTATGCAAAAGAATTTGGAAAATACTGAATTAAAGAGAAAGGGAAGAAGGGAGGGTAAATGTGTTTGAATGATGTTTCTAAGAGTTTAGCCGTTTTATCTCAACTGTTTTTCTCAGACACTTTTTATTGGAATTAATTCATAAGCATTTCAGAAATGTATGAAGGCTGAGAAACCACATAAAATACTATAACTTTATGATAGAAATAAATTTCATAGGATGTTCGTAAGATCTCACACTGAATGAAGTAATGATCAATTTCTTCAAAATCTAGGGAACCCGGCACACTTCCTTACCCTTGGCAGATTGTATCTTCTGTGAAAAAATTATTTATGTACATACCATCCCTCCTTCTTTTCCTTTTTCATTCAATAGTAACTAGGGAATCATGCATAAATACAGAAATGTCTACACCTACATTTGCATTTCTAAATGTACTGCACTGGAAACAGAGACCATGCCCTGTATATCTCTAACCACTGAGCACTTAGCCTCACATGTGAACCTTTGAGGTGCTCCTGTGCTGTTGATTAAATGGAAGGTAAATCCTGCATCCGGGGAAGCTACAAGCCTTAGGAGCAATCTGAGTCCTACTTTGTTACCTGCCTGACAAGTTTATTTGGGGACTGCATTTAGTTTTGGACATCTGCTCCCTGTTCAGATTTCTATGTTTGTTCAGTATGTTGCCTCCTGTGGACAAAAATGCTAAAGAAAGTTGCTCATTGCCACACCTCTCCTTTTATTCCCAGTTTAATTACTAGGAAGATGGCTCTTGTGACTGACTGAATGACTGAGGTGATGTCAGTTTGGACAAAAGGGGTTTCATAGAATGCAGTGTTGTACCTAGAACATTTAGGATCGGACCCCTGTGGACACATGCCTGAGTCAAAAGTAATTTTTGTTTGAGTGAAAACAAGATTAGCAAGTGCTTAATGCATATTTTGATAGCATTATTAAGCAACATAAATATTGAAATTTTTGCTTTTGTAAAGTAATCTATAAAAAAGTTATTTATGAAAAACTCAATACAACCTTAATGAAAACAACAGTTGCTGTTTTATCTACAAAAGAATACTTGCATTTCTTTTCTCATCTAAAAGATCCTAAGCTTAGCCAGGGATTTAATTCAGTGGCACAAGCGCCTGTTGGGCAAGCATGAGGTCCTGGGTTGAATCCCTGGTACCAAAAAAAAAAAAAATCCTAAGCTCCTCTGTGATACGAGGTGTTGGTTACTATATGTTTTAGTATTACAGAATAAACAATTTAAACTTCAGCACAAGTAAGTGCTTAAGGAGAATTTTGGTAGTGTTACTAATTAATATAGATACTTAAATTCTTGCTTTTATAAAGTTATCTGTAAAAAAGTTATTTTCCAGCTATATTCCAGAGTTAGTTTTTAATTTGTTGTCTTAAAACTTGTTCCTTAAATTTTCCCATAGTTGTTAACTTATTTCTTCATCAACACTTGTACTTTTCCTCACTGTTTTCTGAAACACAAAAATGGCAATATCTGCAGCCTATAGCTGCATACAGGGGACACAGCTGGAGGCAGGCAGAGCCACTGTCCCAGCCTGTTTTCTCTTAGCCTCCTGCTGGCTTGTTTAATTTTGAATGCCATGCACACTTACATGGAAATAGACTTTTGTATTTATTTTTTCTTAAGTTTCTAAAGTAATCCCTCTTTTTGATTGCTTAGGACTTTCATATTTAAAATATTTTATTTAATGATAAATTATACATTATTTCTGAAGTGCTGGTTTTAGTTTTTTGTTTTTAATAAACTAACTTTTAAGGTTAACTATATTATGTTGTATTATATTAAAGGTGAGAAGACCATTTAAGTTTTGTCATTTTGCAAATAGTGTTCTTTTTAGCGTTCGACTGTCTTCATGATAAATCTTACTGATTCTGCTTCTCTCTGCTTAGGACCTCCAACAATTTTAGAAAGCATTACATTGCCCTCTGTCTTGCCAATGTTGCTTTTATGCTTCCCTGGCAGTTTGCTCAGTTTATACTTTTCACACAGGTAAGATGATTTTAAGTTAATTTAGATTGGATGCAATTTGTTCTTGGTATTGCCATAGAAGTTTTAAAATGTGATTATATTTATGTGCTAAAAGATTTTTCAAAATATGGAATAATTACAAAGATTACATAAATGTGATTTTAAAATATAATTCTGTGTTCTTTAGTGTATTGGTTACTGATGACTATTAATGATTAACACATAAAGGATTTTTGCTGTTAATTTTATTCATACATTTTCCTGTTGGGACGGGCAAGATAATGTCTGTGTATCTATTTCCCTGTAAATTTTTCTTTTCTGGGCGCCCAGCTACACCAAGTGCTAAGGCTAGTCCTACTCTTCAAAGTCAGGGTTTCTTGTTCTGATCCAGCTAAATATTGGCCATTTTGTGTGAAGAACAGAATTTTACCTGAAACCATGTCTCAGAGTTATAATCATGATATTGCTTATATACTATGCTTCTAAAACACCTAAGTAACTAATGGTAATAAACTTCAGAAAAGTCAAGAAACAGAGATCAAAAAGACAATGCTGATGAAATTTTACACTACTGAGATTTTCCACTAAGGCTAACTGATAATGATAATAATGTTCTATGGTGGAGGTAAGAGGCCTCATGCTGCCAGTTATCACAAAGAATGAGATTATAACCTCAGTTTAATCTGCACTATATATTTAAAGAATGTTTAACAGTATTTCCACTGCTTTACTGCCTTTTAGTTGACACCTTTCAGGTTGCAACACAAAATGGCTGTGGTTGTCATTATTTGGACATGCTAACATAGGCGAATGTATTTTTAATGAGCATCACCTCATTGCAAGCAAATTTATTAATCCAGTGTGTTGATAAAACTATGGCATGAGATAAACATATGGTGACTGCTTAATTTGAAAAAAATATTTGGCTAAGAATCACCCCTTAAAGTTTTCCCCTTGACTTGGAATGTATTTGTCCAATCATTCTTGCCACTTTCTGAAGCAGTTCAGAAGTCCTCTTTCATGAGTAACTTCAGTTGTGCTGATGTGGCTGCCTCCGTATCCTGAACTAATTCAAAAGGTTTACCCTTCACAGTCATTTGAAATTGCACAGTGCCAGGTCCAGTGACTAAGGCAGGTCAGGCTTTGAGTTCAATTCACACAAAAAGTAGAGATAGTAGTAATAAAGAGGACACACTAATGTTTTTATGAGCCTGCCTTTCCTTGCATGGTGCTTTTAACCACAGCTCATACAGACACTTACAAAAAAGAGAACTGCCAGAACTGCTTTAGAAAGAACAATGGGAAGTGTGTGAGGGAAAGGAATACGAGGGAGGAGTTAAAGCAGTGTGTTTTTTTACTGTGATAAATGTTTTTAAAAAATTAAACACCATATGTTTTGATCACCCCTTTTAAGTAAGTCCTCTGGATAAGTTTGATGTGAACTTAGTGATTTTTTATTTATTCAAATGTATATATAGAGAGACTTTTCTTTTTTTTTACATATGGAATTTGTGTGTTTGTCTTTTCATACTCATGAGAAAATTCAAATTATTTTTCTAGGAATAGTCTTAAGATTTTAACCTTGATTGGATTTTTCACACATTAAGCTTAAAATTAAGTAACAAGAGAAATATGTACTAAGGAGCCAAAGATTGGTGACATTTTTTTTTGCCCTTGTTGTTTGATTTAGTCTTTTTTTAATTTTAAAGAGAATAAAACCAAATAAAATGAAATACAATAAAGCCAATATAAACAAAACAATGAGGGTGATACAGGACTTCAAAACAAGATAATAGGAAATCAACAATGGCTACCACAATACATCTTAATTATCTTCAAAATAGTTGCCCATATCATCAAAAATAATAAGATCAAACAAAGCAAAACAGTAAAACAAAACAATTTAAAGGATACAGGATTTCAAAACAAGATAATAGGAAACTAACAATAGCTGCCACCTTCCCTTGTTAGACATTTCCTTCACCTTCACTTTCACAATATCTATTGTACATTCTGGATCTCACTAAGTCCTTTAGTTTTGTATACTAGGGAGACAACACACTGTTCAGTCATGTGAGTCTGAACCATTTTACCCACGACCATGTTCTCAAGTTGAATCCATTTACCTACAAGAACCTCGAGATTATCTTTTTTTTTTTTTTTTTTTTTTTTTTTTTTTGCAGTGGGGATCAAACTCACAACCTCACGCTTGCCAGGCAGGTGCTTACACCACTGAGCTAAATCCCTAGCCCTCGAGATTATCCTTCTTTATATCTCCTGCCATATCTTTCTTACCTATCTATGGTTGATAGTCAAGCTACTCATCCTTTCTTCCAGGTCCTTGTTGCAAGGAGAATAGTCTTTTCCTCTACAACATTCAGTCCATGAATTTCCTTTCAAGCCAAATGTGTTTCTTGTATACAGTATATTGATGGATCCTGTCTCACTGTGCTTATGTTTCTTTTTATTGGTGAATTGAGGCCATCTACATTAATGGTTATGACCACTATGCCCTGGCTCATCTCTGCCATGCTATCCTCCTGCTGTTGGGCCCTCACTTTTCCTCTGCCTGCTCTGGTTGGTGAGTCCCCTTCTGCTGCTGTTCCTGGAACTGTGGTCATCTTTTCTCTCTTTAGAATATCCTTCAGCACTCTTTGTAGGGTTGGTTTGGTGGTCACAAATTCCTTCAGTTGTTCTTTTTCATGGAAGTATCTTTGTTATGGTTTGTGTTTGACTGCCCTGCCCTCAGCCTCATACAGTCATGGAGGAGGTTGAATCTAGCATTTGTGATTGGTTCATTGTCTAGCAGTAGGATTGGCAGTGTGAGTGTTGCACCCACCAGAGGCATGGAGCCAGCCTACAATGTAAGGAAGAGAAGGAGGCACGCTTTTCCCTTTTTATGCCTTTCGCTCTTGTCACTTGCAGCTTCCACGAATGGCTGCCCCTCAGCCATACCACCCTGCCTTGGAACCAGCTGAGTATGGTCTGAAACCTTCAAAACTGTAAGATAAATAAATCTTTCCTTGCTTCATTTTGGGTGTCAGATATTTTGTCTCAACGATGAGAGAAAAGTAAAGACTACCTTATTTCTTCATTAAGTGTGAAAGATAGTTTTCCAGGGTACATCAATCTTGGTTGGAAGTTGTTTTCTTTCAGGACTTGAAACACTTTACTCAAATCTTTCCTTCACTTGATGGTTTGTTTTGAGAAGTCTACCATGATTCTGATGGATTTTCCCTTAGAGATGATCTGTTTCTTTTCTATAACAGCCTTTCATGCTCTGTTCTTGTGCTAAATTTCTGGGATCATGATTATTATATGTCTAGGTGTAAATTTATTTGGGTTGTGGCTAGTTGGACCCCTATATGCCTCACTTATCTGAGTGCCTCATCCTTTTCCCATGCTTGGGAAATTTTCACTATTCTGTGCATAGGCTTTTAGTGTCATTTGTTTTGTTTCTTTTTTTTTTTTTTTTTTTTCTGGTACCAGGGATTGAACTCACTACCGCCTGCTTGCAAGGCAGGTGCTTACGCCACTGAGCTAAATCCCCAGCCCCGTGTCATTTGTTTTGATCCCCTCTTTTTTGCTGACACTTATTATTCTTAAATTATTTTTCTTTGCATTGTCTTGCAAAGCAGTTGAATTATTATTTCTGGGTCCTTGTTATTTTTAAGAGATCTTTCCTTTTGCTTCACTAGCTGCAATCCTGTCTTCAAGGTCTGAAAGTCTATCTGCAGTTATTTTTAAGTGGTTTTTCCAGCTTTTGGTGTTCTTAATTTCCTAAATATCTTGTTGAATCTGTTTCATGCATTATAATTCCTTACTATATTGTTCATTCAAAGTTTCCATTGTTTTCCTGTGCTCCTTTTTTTGTTTATGTCTTCTTTAGATATGCTTAGCAATTTTTTCATTGTTTGCGATTTCTTCTTTTACCTGAGATATTATTTCTGATCTGATTACTTTTACAGCCTTATGAAGTTGTTTGTTTACTTCAGTTGCTATCCTTTCAGAAATTTCAGGTGTGCTACTTCCAATTTATTGCATGTCTTTGTCTCCCAGACTTGTTCTGTATAGGCTGGACATCCTGGATTGCCTTTTACTCCTTTGACTTGCAGACATTTTCCTGAGTTCTTCTGAATGAGCTGCTTAGAGGTCCCAGGCACTTCCCATATTGGCTTCCTGTCCACAGTGTAGGGGAATGGTGAGGCACTTGGGATTTCTCCTAACCTAGTTTTCCAGGGAGGTGAGGGACCAGGCTTCTCCAGTCAAGTGCAGCTACTCCAAGACTCCCCCGATGACAGCAGGTGTTTCTCCTAGGCCATCCTAGCTACAGCTCCCCAATGGTGGTGGCAGGCTTGCTGGGCTATGGCTGACTGGTTCTAACCTGCACTGGCTGTCAGTCCTGATGGTTTGATTTATTCTAGGCAGGTTCTAGAGGCTAGGACATACCGAATTCAAAGTGTTAGTAGACTCATTTGTCTTCTGAAGGCTTCGTTCTCTCTTCATACTAGCATCTTGATGCTCTGTGCTTAGTAACCTTGAAGATAAAAAGGTGCAATGTCCTCTCCCACACAAGGACTTCTGTAAGCTGACCCTAGTATCCTCGTAAACAGGTATAATCCCCTCTCCCTCCCACTGGGTGCAGCAGCCGTCAGAGAATGGCTCTCTTCGCATGTGCCCACTAATTCAGAGTCAAGGCTATGGTGACCGCAGGTCTTCTGTACATCACCCATGCTCCTCACTCTCCAGAGCAAGCCTCACTCTTACTTCACGCAGGATGGCTCTCAGAAGCGAGATCAGCAGTGACTTTCTTGTGTACAATCCTCCATCACCACTCAGTGCAATTTGTCTTCCGTTTATTTTCTGGAACACAACCTTCTTCCTGGGCTGTGGATGTAGCTGTGACAGCTTGCCTGGAATGTGAAAGGTCTTGGGCTTGATCTTCAGCACTGCTCCACTGAGAACGGTCACACAGAATCCACCCGGAAATGATGGACTTTCCTCTGCAACATAGGGCACTTAGAGCTCATCTATCACCTACGCTGGAGGTACAGCCAGAGACACGGGTGATAGACTCACCCAAGCTCTGCCAAATGAGGATTTGAGTTTCCTTCCTGAAGCCTCTCCATTTTCTACTTCATCGGAGGTGCCACTCTGTCTCCAGAAATCCGTATCCTCAAGCAAAAAGTTTAAAGCCTACACAGATTTATGACATTTTAAAGAAAAAAGGCTGTGTTGTCTTAGTAGTGTTTTACCTTACGGCATAAGGTCTGTGTCTGGAGTCTTTTTAACTGTGGATGTCCACCACTTGTTGGAAAACATCTTTCTCCACTGAGTTCCTTTGCCCTTGATCAGAGCTCACTTTCCTGTGTTTCTCTGGGTTTATTTCCAGGCTCTTTGTTTTGTACCTCTGATTACTTCAATTGTTTTTTCTTCAATTCCACGTTCTGTTGGTTACTGTAGCTCTACAGTAAATCTCAAAGTCTCATGGTTTTCAATTGTTTTTAAGAATTTTCTCTGACTTTGGTTTTGTGAAGATGTTGCTGTGATGATTCCTGTTGGCTTTGTTTTCTTCCTACTTTCTTCTTCCTTGACAGTTTCTAGTGCTTCCTAAGTCAGTAAGCAACTCGACTTTGCCCATCAAATTGCTGAAGTCTTCAGCTATATCCCTTCAAATATAGCTTCTACCTAATTGTTTCCTCTCTCTCTAGAATGTAAAGTATAATAGAATTGATCTCCACACTACGTCCATTATATCTCTTGTTTTCTTTCAGGTATTCTCACCTTTTTGTCATTTTATACTTCCATTCAGATACTTTTTTCTGATTTCTCTTCTAGTTCAGCACTTTTGTTCTTATTCTGCTTTTAACTCATGCTAATTTCTTAATATTGTTGTCATATTTACTTGTAACATTACAATTTATTTCTTCTTTCTAACACTCCCTGGAATTTTCAGTCCTATGTTTTATTCCTTGGACATGTCAAACATTGTTTACTTTCATATCTGATGATGTCAAGCATGTCTTTGAGTGGTCTGCAAGCAAATACTGGTTTCTGTATTTCTGAAGAGTTGTAAAAAGTGAAAAAGAGAAAAAAAATATATAGCAGGCACTGTATGTGGAAAACAAAGCATATTTTACTCTCTGGTCTTTTGCAGAATAAACTTGCTAATCCCAGATCACGATCCTCTGTAGATGTGTTTCTGGAGTCTTAGTGATAATATCGTGTCTCCTCCTCTCAGCCTTACCTCCTTCTTGCAGTGCCTTACTTCTTTCTCTCAAAAAGCCTCAGTAGTTTGCTTAGATATTTTTGAAGTAGTGTAGAGTTAATTTGAGACTAAATTGATGCTAGCTTTCTCCAGAGATTAAATTTGCTTACAACAGGCAAATAAAGGCATTCAGGGTCTTGAATCATGTTTCTATATTAAGATTAAGACGATTGAAAGGTAAGATTAAGTCTTTCTGAGGGGTAACCTGTTTTCTGGTTCACTCATAGAGTGTAGTCCTTTGATGCCCCAGACCAAACTCAGGTACTTAGCAGGCACCCACTTCTTGGCACGCCCTGGCCACCCAGTCTATTGAAACATCTGCCGAGCCTGCGGGTCTCTCTGTGCCTCTCAACCTGCCTGTATTGGAACCTGCAGATATATCTGGGAGAAAAAGTTATCCACAATGCATGGTCATCAGGATAGATTCCCATCTTTTCCCTGGTTTTACTTGCTGATTTCTCACTTGCCTTGTTAATAATCTGTAGCTTTCATATATATATTCATATATGTATATATTCATATATGTATATATGATAATATATTAATATATAAATATATATAGGAAAAGAAAATATAGTGTTTATATTTAATACACATATATTTGTTTATATATAATATATATGTATACATATAGTGCACCAAAAATATATACATCAGCAAAAGAAAAACTTGCATAAATATTTTAATACTAAATTTATTGAGATATCATGAAATTAATACAAGTTACCTTTGGCTTCTACAATTACAAGAGGTGCTCAAAGCTGTGCACATTGGCTTCCAGATATTTATTATTATGGTGAACTCTGTGTGTGTGCTAAAGTATATACAAATTTTTTGAAGACTGTGTGTGTGTGTGTATGTATTTGTGTTTCCATTTCTCAGCTTAAAGTTTGGTTCAAATTAATTTGCCCACCATGATCAGAAATATGATTCTCCCCTTTATTTACTGTACCTGTGAACAGTATTTATTTGCTAGATGTTTTTCACTTTTGTGATGTTGTATGTGTGTTTCAGGTAGCCTCATTATTTCCCATGTATGTGGTGGGTTACATTGAGCCAAACAAGTTTCAGAAGATCACTTTGATAAACATGGTAACATTTTAATGTTTATAAATCAAATGTTAAGATCCTAGAATTTATAAACATAATTAATTCTGCTTGTGATAGTATTGAATATGTATAACACTGATGATATCCAAAAAATAAACTGGAAATGTACATTACAGATACCATATTATACTTTCAACTAGATTGTAGTTGTGTTGGACTGTCTACAGCTTTTTTTCTGTTTTATTTATTTTTGTCTTTAGTTTTGAAACTTTTCTTGCTTAGCCCTGAGACTGGGCTAATACTTTGTGCAAATACAATACTTTACAGTTGAAATTTTATATTCATGCATTTTGTTTTTTATCTTAGTTCTCAGACATATCTTCCTTAAAACCTCTAAAAAATATTCAGTATAACTCAGTGAAGTGTTAATTTGATTCAGAAAAAGTAATAAAGCTTCCTCAGTAGCAGAAATCAACAAGTAAACAGCAAAAACAAAATTATGGAAATATAGTTGTAATTAAGTATTATTTTGTATTTAGACAATAGAAAAATAACAGTTTTTATAACTTTTTGTCTAGCAGATAATTAAAAAATTTAATTGTGCTATATAAATTTATGATTTTGAATTTTAATACTTAGAGGCTAGCAGTAACTTGAAATTCTTTGGGCCAAGTCCATTAATTTTCTCTACACGGATAACGTTTCTGTTAGAAATGACTATGCCTCAGAGGATTCATTATGCTATGCATGTAGTAACTGAAATAAGTGGAATTTTTATTTTTCAGGTTTCAGTTTTCCTCTGTTGTGTTTTGATGTTTGGGAATCCGATGTACTTATCTTCTTACTATTCTTCATCTTTGTTAATGACATGGGTATGTGCATGTTAAGCTCATGAAGGTGTTTTCCACCCTTAAAAGCAGGTTTGCATGTCTAATACAAATATAGGAAAATAAACATGGCCGTTTCCTAATTATTCACATGAAAAGTTTTTTGCCAGATGATGATGTTTTTCTTCTTTATCCTTGGAAAATAGCAGTACACAGTTATCATTTTAAAGCAACACCCAAGTGAATATTTTTAAAGTGGTCATAAGGTATTGAAATGTACTTTAAAAACTTAACCTCGAGAAGATCCTTAATTTATGGTAAAATTGTTTCTTTTCTCTCAAGTCACTTTAGTAGACTGTTTATAACAATGACATGACCATTGCCCCCCAAATATTTTTGGAACTGCTTAAATTGCTTTCTACATTCTTTCAGAGATTCTGTATGATGTCAGATCTTCATCTTTCAAGATTGGATTTGACTTTTGGTATTGACCAAAATCTCACTAGTAAAGTGAATGATTGTACAAGGTGATCTAAGCTTGGTCAAAACATTATAGGACTGATTTTCCTGTGTCTATAACTGAGTTATCCTGAAGACAGGTTAGAAATTAGAGTCCTAAGCTATTTTGAGCAGTTGCAAAATAATTAGAATAAGTGTATGGCCACGTAACATACCTTGTTCTCATGGAGTGGCACTTACTTGAGTATGTATAGCATTACCTTGTGTGATGCACTGATTATTTTATTTTGCCATTGTTCTCAGGTTTTAGCATTTTTACTTCCTCTATACTTTTTGCCTCAAAGTAAAGAATCTCTTCACTTTCTCTCCCTACGCCCTGCCACATATGTTTGCTCTTGGCAACAGAGTCAAAATTTTCAGCATTATACAGTGGTGGTACCCATGCACCATCCATCTTTCCAGGGGAGTTACCCTCTAAAAAATACTCAGTATAACTCAGTGAGGTGTTAATTTGATTCAAGAAGCAACACTGTAGCACCCAGGGCATCTGACTCTCACTTCAAGGACCTTCTCAGATCTCTGATCTGCAAAGTCAGCAATGGAGAAGGAGAATGGCTGGCAGCAGATGAGATGGAAGGGTGTGGCTGTGTAATGTTTGAAATGTGCCATTCATATAAAGTATAAATATTAGAGTTATTGATTTCATTTATCTGTCATATGAATTTCAGGTGATAATTCTAAAGAGAAATAAAATTCATAGAATCGGAATATCTGAACTCAACTTTTGGGTAAGAGTCATTGTTTTTAATACAAGTTTTTTAAATATAGCTTTTTATTTCTAGAAACAATATAATATACTTCAAAACTAATGATTCATACTTCATAAACCCTTTGAACAGCTACTGTCAGAGGTAGGAATAGTTCTGAGCTAGCATTGATTCTTGTTCTGTAGGATTTTAATGTGTGTCTATTTAAAGAAAGACCATACTGAAGCACCATATGTTTATATATTATATATTGAGAGAGGAAAACTAGAAAAGTTCTGGTAAACTGAGGAAGTAGATTTATATTCAGAATAACAAACAGAAAAATGGAAGAGTTCTGCTTTCTAAAGGCAATCTCCTGTCCTTTATGGTAGAAATGTAGAAGGATTTGTCTTTCTAAGGATGAACTAGGTTGTTAGATGACATCGTACTTCTAATATGTGGCATTTTCACTTCATAAAAATTGGGCATTGGATAACTCAGAAAACAAGAAAGCCAAAATTTTAATTGCAAATAGTTTAAAAAGCAATAAAACAGTGTCTGTAGTTTATGAAATTCTGCCAAAGCTGTACCCAAAGGAAAATTTATGGTCTTAAACTATATATTGTACATTTTCAATAGTAAATGTACTATTTAATCAGTCACTGTCACAATCACATAAAAAAGTGAGGAAGTCACTATTCCTCACTGCAAGGACACAGGGCTGGTCCCAGAACTGGGCCAGGCCAAACCCAGATGAGCCAGAGCATCCTATTCAGCTGAATAGAATTAACCAAGCTATAACTCAAGAATTTCAAGGAACAAAAAAATCAAAGTATAGCAGGTTTGGCAACAAACACAACATATCCCTAAAAATATACCTTATATATTTGGAAGATAAAGCTATGTATCATTTGAATAAATGTAACAAAATAGTAAAATATGTGATGAGGAAACATTTTTAAATCTTAAAATGTAAAGATTACCCATGTAAATGGAAAACTAAGCCGTGTTTTCCATAGGAAGACACCACAGAGGACGTCTCTTCCCAGCAGCAGTTTGGGTTGGAAGGAATTCCAGCAGCATTGCCTTGCAGGTCCCTTCCCAGGGAATGGCCTGGGATCATCTGGTGTCTGCAGCAAAAGTTCACATGATCACAAATAGGAACTTCAGCTGTAGCCACTAGAAGTGCTCTCCACCAGATCCTTTGTCTCCTCGACAGGTCATTGTGACCCCTGAGTACACTATGTGGCCGAATAGGATGCTCTGGCTCATCTGGTTTTGGCCTGGCCCAGTTCTGGGACCAGCCCTGTGTCCTTGCAGTGAGGAATAGTGACTTCCTCACTTTTTTATGTGATTGTGACAGTGACTGATTAATTTCTTATTTGTAATTTGAATTTTGTGCTGTTACTGTTTTTTGCCTTTTAAATCTCTGTTCTGTCTGTAGTCCGTTCCAAAACTACAAGGCTTCTCTTCACATACAGTGAGTTCTTTCTCTGAGTACTTTGGTTCACTTTGGCAGCCCTTCCTCTCCTCGTCCTCTTCCTCTTGCTCTTTACAGGGCTTCCCTTGATGTCTGCAGAGGCTTTGGCTGGCAACTTGGAGCATATCTCTGCTGTCTGTCTTGTTTTCTTCTATGTTGACAGGGAATGTAGAGTTTGTGCTGTCACCTGTTTTGTGCATTTGTGGTTGTATTGTTTTGTTTGTCAGATTTGTGTAGAGAGATTTGGGTTCAGGCTGCTGTCATTTTCTTCAGGCTGGCCAGAGGCCTATATCGGTTCTCTTTGTAATCAAGGGCAACCAGCGAGCAGCAAGCCAAACACCTTGCTGTCAGCTTTAATGCTGATTTATCTTTGGAAAATGAAAACTTAGATTATTAAAGTTTCCTTTCTGTAAGAGGGGCTTATGTAATTTTATCTCCAAAAGAGTGGAAAGAAGCATTTTAATACAGTGTTTTGAAAATGGATTTTCAGCTGAGAAATAATATTTGGAAATAGACATATAATCCCTATTTTTAACAGAAATTGAAAAGAAGTAAGTTTATAATTTCCTTTAGGCTTTAGGATCTGTAGAGCTCTTGTGTTATATATTTTAGAACAGTATCACTACAAAACTTGTTAAGCTTTTCTTTTTCTAGAATTTACCATATACACACCACTAATATGTGTCACATAATTAAAATCTTTCTATGTCACTTGTAGGTATGGTTGAATACTTTAACTGGGTGGTTTTAATACTGGACTTCTATTTTATTTTCAAGCTAATTCAAGGTTGTGCTTGGTGGCTTGGAACAATCAGTTTGAAACTTCTGACATCTAAAATCTTAGGTGTTTCAGACCATGTAAGTACTTTCTACTTAAAACATTAAATTTCCTAAAAAATATGTAGTTGGATGAAAACCTTGAAACAATATAGTCTTCCACTTCATTTTACAGAGGTTCCCTTTTTGTCAAGGCCCCTGAGCTAACTATTAGCAAAATCAAATATAAAATCCTACAGTTCAAAGCCCTTTGAAACCATTAGGAAAAAAATATATCAGTGAATGCAAACTTAGTCTTCTGAGACTGTACTAATACTCTGTGTAGCAGCTACTTGTAATATTTCAGGTAAAATAAAAATGGTCATTTAAGAACTTTTCATCTATTGTACAATGTATCAATTAATGCTTACTAGAGAAACATTTAATGCAAGATATACAAATATATCATAATTTACGAGATTGGCTTACAGGGGCCACCCACATTGCTAGGTGTGAAGGGTTCAAAAGGTCTGTCTGTACACCGCAGATCTAGAGGATCCAGTTGAGGCCTGGAGCTCACTGTAGTGTCCTATGCAAGTCATGCAAGTTTTGTGAGTCCGTGTCAGGAGACCAAGGGTCTGCAATGGAAGCCTGAAAGATCTGTACCACAGGAAGGCTGCAGGGTCTGTGCAGGAGGCTGGAGAGTCTGCACTGGAAGCCAGGAGATGGTGTCCAAGCAGAAGATGAAGACTGGAGCGCCTCTGCAGGAACAGAAAGGAGTCTTCTTCCTTCCCCTCTATACTATTCAAGCAACAAGCCACCCGTGGTTGGGTCTTCTGTCTTCAGTAAATCCCTTCAGCCATGCTCCGAATGATGCTGATTCATTTTAGCTGGGCGTTTTTTACTCAATTTGACACAGTTTGTTAACTTTCACACATATGTTAAAGTACAAATGGCCAGCACTGAGCTTTAAGATACAGGATCCATCAAAATCTATAGAGCCGGGTGTGGTAGCACATACCTGTTGTCACAGTACTCTGGGCTGAGGATGAATTTAAGTGCGAAGGCCCTGGGTTCAATTCCCAGTACTGCAAAGCAAGGCACAGGAAAACAAGACCTATAGATAGTTTTATTTATTTATAATTATGGGCTAAAATGAAGCTATGATTCACTGTTTTTATTCTTATGTAAAAAGAGAGTGTTAAAAGTTCTTTTTTTTCTTCAATTTTGTTAGTACAAGTTTGCAATACAGGAAGTTTATGTTCATCTTAGGGAATAGGTACATGTATCTAACATATCTTGACTCTTTATTCCCCTTCTTCTCTCCACCCATCTTCTTTCCTCTTAGGTGCTTTCTCTCATTTCATAACTATTAATATTAGTAAAATTCATGTTTATGACGTATAATGCTTACTTACATTCATTGTGTTTCCATGATTTAGCTATCATGAATTATGCTGCCATAAACATTGGTATGCATGTTGCACAGCAGTACAATGTCTTCAGCTCTTTTGGGAAGATATAGTGAAGGAAAATAGCTGAGTTAAATGTAGTTTCTAATTTTAGTTACTTGATATATCTCCATGCCAATTTCCATCATGGTTAGACTAGTTTACAGCAAGATGGAAAGGTTCTTTTTTCACCACAGCCACACCCACATTTGTTATTATTTGATTTCTTGATGTTGGCCATTTTTTCTGGGGTAAGATGAAATCTTAGTGTTGTTTTTTAATTTCCATTTCTCTAATGACCAGCCATACTGAATACCTTTTCATATTTTTACTGGCTGTTTGTACTTCTGTTAAGTGTCTGTTCATTTCACTTGTCTGTTTTTGATTCCATATTTTGGAATTGGGGAGTCCAATTTTTTTTTTAGTTCTTTGTATATTGTAGATATTTGTCCTCTATCTAAGGAATAGCCTGCAAAAATTCTTTTCCTGTTCTATGAGTTGACTCTTCACTTTGTGGGCTGTTTGCTGTGAAGATTTTTAATTTGAAATAATCTCATTTATTAATTTCTATTATTTCTTGTGCAATTGGAGTTGTATTCAGAAAGTCCTTGCCTACACCTATGTCTTTAACTGTTTTACCTATCTTCTAGTAAATTCATTGTTTCTGTTTTAGTGTTTAAATCTTTGATCCATTCTGTTTCTAATTTAATACTAGGTAAGAAATAAGGGTTCATCTTCCGTCTCTATGTCTAGATAGCCAGTTTTCCCAGCACCATTTGATAAAGAGGCTATCTTTTCTCCAATTTATGTTTTTGGCCCCTTTGTCAAGGATCAAGTAGCCAAATATGTCTGGGGATGTTTCTGTATCCTTTTTTATGTTCCATTGATCTACACATCTCTTTTTGTGGCAGTACCCTGTCTTTTTTTAAAATCACTATTGCTTTGTAATACAACTTCAAGTCAGGTATTGTAATGCTTCTCGTGTTGCCCAGCATTGCTTTTGCTATTCTTGTATCTTTCGATTCTATATGAATTTTAGGATTGTTCTCCCTGGTTCTGTGAAGAACGTTATTGGCATTTTTGCATGGGGTGTGTTAAATCTGTTAATCAGTTTTGGGAGTATGGCCATTTTGATGATATTAGTTCTGCCTAAAATAATAAATAAAAATTAAAAAATTAGTTCTGCCTATGTAGAAACAAAGAACATCTTTTCATTTTCTGATTTTCTCTTCAGTCTCCTTTCTCAGAGTATTATAATTTTGTTGTAGCAATCTTTCACTTCCTTGGTTAGGTTAATTCCTAGCTTTTTAAATTTTCTCAATACTGTCATAAATAACATTGTTTTCCTAATTTTTCTCATTGTGTTCATGACTAGTATACATGAATGCTGTTGATTTTTGTGTGAGGATCGTGTCATCTGCAAATAATGATAATCTGACTTCTTTTTCTATACATAACCCTTTGATTTCTTTCTCTTCCCTAAGTTGATCTGGCTGATGTGTTAAGTTCTATTTTGAACAGTAACAGACATCCTTGTCTTATTCCTGATTTTAGAGGGAAAGCTTTCAGCTTTTCCATACTTACTATGATTTAGCCATTGGTTTGTTATAAATCGTTGTTATCAGATTCAGGTAAAGACTTCTATACCTATTTTCTTCAGGGTTTTTAATCAGGAATTTGGATTTTGTTAAGTTTTTTCTGCATCTGTTGATAGGATCATGCAATTTTTGTCCTTCTGTTTATGTGGGTGTATTACACTTACTGATTTGTGTATGTTGAACCATCCTTGCAATCCTATATGACACCTACTTCATCATGATGTGTGATCCTTTTGATGATGGGTTGCATTCTGTTTACCAATATCTCATTGACTAGTTTTGCATCAATTTTCATTAAGGATTTTGGCCTATAGTTTTTTCATTTAGGTCTTTGTATGATTTGGGGATCCGAGTGATGCTGGCTTCCACAAATGAGTTGCCAAGTCCTCCTTTCCTATCATCTTCGTTAAAGAGTTTCAGGAATATTGGTGGTATAATAATGCCCTTAAAGTTTTATAGAATTCAGCAGTGAATCCATTAGATCCTGAGGTTTTTTTTTTTTCAGTTGCTAGTTTTTTTTTTAATTACCACCTCAATTTTCCTGCTTGTTATTGTATTCTTATGACTTCTTGGTTTAGTTTCTATAATTTGTATGCATTTAGGAATCCGTCTATTTCTTCAAGATTTTCCAATTTCTTGGAATAGAATTTTTCATAGCAGTTAGTATCTTCTAGATTTTCACAGTATCCATTGTGACTTGAATTTTTTTATTTCTAATTGCATCAAAGTGAGCCCTCTCTCTTTCTGTCTCATTAGTTTGTCTAAAGGTTTATCTGTGTTATTCTTTCAAAGAATCAACTTCAGTTTGTTGATTATTTTTTTTAGTCTGAATTTCATTAATTTACGCTTGAACCTTTATGATTTTCCTCCTTAGGTCAATTTGGGCATGGATTGTTTTGTTTTGTTTTGTTACTTTTTTGAGATTCCTCATTAGGTCATTTGAGTTTTCTCTGTTTTTCTAATGTAAGGATTGATTGCAATAAGCTTCCCTCTTAGAATTCCTTTCATTCTGACCCATAACTTTTGGTTGTTGTACTGGCATTGTTGTTTGTTTCCAGAAATTGTTTAACTTCTTTTTTGACTTCTGTTGTAACCCAGTGGTGTTCAGAAGTGTGCTATTTAATTTCTAAATTTTCTGTGGTTTCTTCTGTGATTGATTTCTGGTTTCATTAACAATGATCTAGTAGTAAACATGGAATGATCTTGATTCTTTTGTATTTATTTAAGCTAACTTTTTGGACTAATATGTGATGTACTTTAGAGAAAGTCCCATGTGCTGCAGAGTGTGTGCTCTCTTATAGGTAGCACATTGTGGATATCTGTTGAGTCTCTATGTTCAAGGGTATGACTCAGCTCTAACAGTCCTTTATTGATCTTTGTTTAGTTAATCCTTGTCTTTGTGAAGTGGGGTATTAGGATCGTCTACTATGACTGTGTTAGTGTTTATTTGATCTTTTATGTCCAACAGTATTTGTTTTATGAAAATAGATACTCCAGTATTTGGTGCATATATATTTATAAGTGTTACCTCTTCTTGTTGGTTTATTTCCTTAATTGTATACAGTGACTGTCTTTGTCTCTTCTAATCACTTTGTGAAGATTTGTTTTCTGAGAATAAAATTGGTACCCCTGTTTGTTTTCTAAATTTTGGTTCGTAAAATATTGTTTTCCATCCTCGTTTTTATAGGCTATGAGTAACTTTTTTATTAGATTACTTGCTTGAATGCAAAACACTGTTAGTTTTGTTTTTTAATCAGGTCTGCAGATTTGTGTCTTTTCACCTGGGAAGTTCAGGCCAGTAAGATGGAGAGTTACTGGGACGAGTGTTGATTAATTACTATCATTGTGCTCTTTCTCTTTTGATGTCTCCTTTGTGTTTTTTTTTTTTTTTTCTTTTTTGTCTAATCATTTTGCTTGGTGTATTCTTTCTCTCTGGATGTTTTGACTTTGTTGACTTCGTTGTGTCTATCTAGGATATCACTGAGTATTTTCTGGAGTGCTAATTTGGTACTGATAAATCTCTTGTTCTTTTTCATGTAATGTCCTTATCTCTCCATCTATTTTGAAATACAATTTTCTCAGATTTGTTAAGTCTACTTTGGAAGTTGTTTGCTTTTAGGATGTGAAATACTTCATGTCAGATTTTTCTGGCCTTTAACTTTTTGTGTTGAGAAATTTGCTGTACATCTAATGGGTTTATTTTTCTAATGGGATTTTTTGCTGACAACTTTTGAAAGTGTGTGTGTGTGTGTGTGTGTGTGTGTGTGTGTGTGTGTGTGTGTTCATCCAACATCTGGTACTTCATTATAGCTTACCATGGTGACCTTCTTTTTTCACTTTATTTGGTCGATGTTCTGTAAGTCTCATCTACTAGTGTGCTGAATTCTTTCCTCATATTTGATAAGTTTTCTTTTATGATTTCTGTAAACAAATTTATTCTATGTGTGCCATCTTCTAGTGTCTGTTTAACTCCAATTAGCTTTAGGTTGGCTTTCTTAGTGTTGTGTAGTAGTTGTTAGCTGACGTTTTTGTTTACTATTTTATCATTTATTGTTTCTCTTGGTAATTCATCTTTTTTTTTTTTTTGTCTTTTTCCTTTTTATCGGTACCAGGGATCACATTGGTAATTTATCTTAATTTACCACTTTGTCCTCAATTTCAGACACCTTGTCTTTACATTGAAAATTTCTGCAATTTGTGAGTTCTGTACTATTTTTTAATATCTAGTATTTCTGTCTGGTATCTTTTCATGGAATATTTGATAAATTTGTCATTCATGTTTTGAACTGATATGGTGAACTTTTCCACTTTTTAATTTATTTCCCTCAAATGCACATTTGCCATTTTGTATGATAATTCAGTAAACTTTTGAGTCATAGCCTCTTTGAGAAATTTACCAAGTTTCTTTAACTCTTCTTCAGTCAACTTATGAAGTTCTGCTACCTGGTGTTGCTTTCCTGTCCATTAGTACCCCCTGGATCTATCTTGGTACAGTTTGGGGAACTCTGGAGTCTTTTGTTGTCTTGTTTTCCCATATTTCTCTGTCTCTGTTTTTGTGTGTATGATTCCCCACTCCCCAGCCCCACCGTTTTTTCCTTTTTTGGTGCTAAGGGTTGAGGAAAGTAGGGTGACATATTTTTAGTAAGATACTGCCTTCCAATGATGTATGTTTAACTTTTCTTGGTCCAGAGATAGTATTTACCCTTTGAGCTATTTAAGTGATTTGGACTTGTCCCCTGTCTTGGGAATTTTCCTCTCTAGTCCTCAGGCAGAATCTGACCCCATCCCAGGAACTTAGGAACGCTTTCCCTTCAGGCATGATGGTGGAGTCTGGGTTAAGGTTCCCATGGAGGTGGGGTTCCACAGAGTGAGGGGCTTGACGTGGCAGTAATCAGCCAATATATTCATGGAACTACGTATGGGAGTTGGCATGTGATTCGCTCTCAGGCAGGAGTCCACAGAGACCATGGGCAGGCCCCATTCACCTGCTTATTCTCTCTTACCGGAGTGTTAAAGAGGAGGGCTGTACCCCTGTCCTCGGTGTACACTAGTCAGGATGCTGCTGGGTTACATTTGGAGGAGACGTGGTAGGGAAAAGGGCTGGTGTATCTAGAGTCTGACTCAGGAAGCCAACCTCCACAGCACTCTTTCGTTTATTTCCTCAGGCTATTTGGAATGCTCTCACCCTGGCTGCTCCCTGGAAGGGGAGGGCTGGAGTAGTACAGACCACCTTCCCCTCTTCAGCAATCAGGTGTTAAATATCATTTATATATATCATCTTTGCAGTTATTTTTATGACTTCAAGATAGTAGACTCTCTTCCATTGCAAGTACCTGTGGCTTCAGCAAATCCTCTCTGAGCACCTCTGACTTGATCTCTCCTCTAGTCAGCATGTTGGATGCCTCCACCAGTGCTGTTTTCATGCTTAAAAATTATATACCAAGCCCTTATCCCTCATATGATACTCCTCTTTGTTTTAAGGTTGACATCTTAAATAATGAACTGTTCCAAGGCCTAAATTCCTTTTTAACTACCTAGTATAGGGAATAAAAACAATTTTTGATGTCTAGCACTTTCTATTAAGAAGTAACCATACATAAGCAATTGCACAATACCTTACCTGATGATACTCAGTAGGACCCTGACTAGCACTATTATGTGAACTTTAGTAATGATTACAGTACAGCCTTTCTAAAAGATCAAGTGTTGTTACTACCCAATGATACATTCATACTAATGTTAAGTAAAATTTCTAAATGTAAGCATTTGTTTGCTATTTATGGCTAGCTTTGAATAGTGGTATAGTAGGTTGATTTTTTGCAGTTGACTTGTTGTATATCTGACACATTTCCCTTTTTTTTTCCATCATTCTTTTTGTTTTGTAGGGTCTATATTTTATGCAGCATAATAAACTTTATCCTAGCCTCCTAAGACATTTAAATTATTATGTGATTTTGTTCCACAGTTGTCACCTCATTCTTTACAAATCTTAAAAGCAGCACACACACACACACACACACACACACACACACACACACCCTACCTGGGTAGTTACAAGTTACATTCTCTAGCTGACAGATGTGAGAAAGACCTGAAATGCTAGATTGACATCGTTAGTCAATGTTTTCTCTTTTGATTTAGAAAAATAAAGAACTTGTCTGAATCACCCATGATGCTGATAGATAAGAGAAACTGTGGGTGAAAAAACACTGATAATGATCAAACTTACGAAATAATTAGTGTCCCTTCCAAATAATTTGAATTCAGGTTGTACCTGCTAAATATTTTCCTTTTCCTGCCTTTCTGAGAATGCAGTGGGAAAATACTTGACTCACTAACAGCAGGTAACCAAATGTCAAGAATAAATGTCGTCAGTGTGGGAAGCTTGGTGAAAATAACAAGGCATAGAAAGTTTGTGATTTATAGTGTAAGATGCAATTTGTAATTGAATTATTTTTTATGATAAAATAATGTGAGTAACTATGGTGGTTTTTACCAACAGGTATTGATTTTAGCTTTATTATCTCCTCTGCTTAATTTTTTCTGATGTCTTTTAATTACTCATTTTTTATTTTTCCTAATTTTCAGTTATCTTGATAAGTCAGTATATAGGACATTTGGTTCACTGTATTTTTGAGACACATCCATTTATTACTCTTACATCAAGTCAGTTATTACTGACTATAATCATTTGTGTAATTCTATTTTTTTTTTTCCAGATTCGCCTGAGTGACATTATAGCAGCCAGAATCTTACGGTATGCAGACTTTGATACCTTAATGTACACTTGTGCTCCTGAATCTTACTTCATGGAACAAGTGGTAGGAATATTTTACTATTTTTTCCTTTTCTACAAATATTGTGATTTTTTTACTCTTCAGTTTTCCTCTTTGTATGAAACTCAAAACTTTACTCAGATAAACCAAATTTATTTACTGTGCCATCTTTTACTACATTTGTTAGCCATGTGATATTCTTTAGCTGTCTTATTTGTAAAGTCTGGTAGCCCTTTTCCCAAAAAAACTAATGGTTTAATGCAGGACTATTCAGGAAAATAAAATCCACATTTTTTTAAGAAATGCAGTTTTATTACATTTAGTACTACAGATATTATTAAAAATACAACAAAGTGTTGCTTATGACTTTTAATAAGTACACAAAACTCATTTTAAATTTTAGAAATTTGAAATACCTGAAATTATCCTTGTAAAAATGCTCAAGTTATTAGGTTATTAAAATACTTGCCTATTTAAGGGCCATGAGAAATTAGACCAATAAGGGATCTTAGTGACCATGTCATGTAATTTTTCCATTTGCAGGTAAGGAGAACAAAGCTTGAAAGATTTTGCACACTGGAACCAAAATTAAAATTAGCACATGGATTCTGGTGGATCTTGGCACTCCCCAGTGTACTTTTTTCTTTCTGAGCTGGTTTTTGTCTTCATAGAACAAGAACAAGTTGTCACTGGATCAGTTCTTGTCTAATAATGAATTCTGAATTTGTGGCAAATATAATAATGAAGTTTCACATTATTTGATTTTATTAGATCTTATGGTATGGGCAGCTGTTTTGAAGATGACAAGAGGCATTATGGAGCCATTGTTGACTTCCTGTTATCTTGTTTTAAAGTTCTATATCATTTTCACTGTTTTGTTTTGATTGGCTTTATTCTGTTTGATTTTATTCTCTTACTAAAAATTATTCTCTTCTTTTTTTAACCAGTCACTCATTCAGAAATTGTTATTGGCCACTAATTATCCAGGAAGCAGGTTGCTGTAGGCCAGCAGAGGGGTAAATGACCTGGTTCAAGAAATACAGCTGTTTCTTAGCCGGTCATACCCTACCACCAGAACAGGTCATGAGGATTATTTGGCTGATACTACTTCTGTTTTTATACTTCTAGTAATTATTTTGGCTGTCTTACTTGCTTTTAGCTCTTGTTTCACAGATGAAAATAACAGAACTTTGCTATGTAGGAAATAACAATCTCAGGTCCAGAGAACAGTAAGAACACATGTTTAAACTTAATATTATGTAAATGAAGAAAATACAGATCCAAATAAAAGAAAATATAAAGGACTTAGCTAATTCTAGCTTTAATAGGTTTATCATTAATCTTGTTGAATACTTTATATAGTTAATTTTATAATTTTGATTCTTGCATTGGAATGTGGACATCAATAGATATTTTGATAATGACAAAGACATTTTACCTTTAAGAAACATTATTGTGACACTCAGCTTGACATAGATTTTACTAAATTATTGTAAAATTCAGTAACTATTTTGAATAATTTGCTATATTTCAGACTCCAGTGAGATACACAAAGACATTATTGCTTCCAATTGTTATGGTGATTATTTATATTATCTTTAAAAAGGTATTTTTAAAATTTGTTTTTCACTGCTTTTTAGGTTTAACTTAAGAACTCTAGTCAATTAGTGGTAATTGCTCAGAAGTCTTTTATTTTTAGGGAGGGTAAATTCTTTCTTCACATTGATTATTCAGGTCTTTCTTTGTCTAGTATTATACTTGTTTTTATAGAGATCCACATTATTAAAGATTTTCTTGTATTCTTTCAAAAGATTGTACAACTTCCCTGCTATGTGTGGGGAACTACATTAACATTGTAGATACTCTGGAGAAATAAAACATGACCACTCTTATCTGAGGCAGTTCTGAGGGGTGGAAAGTAGAAACATTGAGCAAATAATCACACACATAACTAAAGAATTACAATTGTGATAGGTACTAAGAAAAATGTGTTGATGAATTTAATATTTTTCCCATGTAAAGAACATTCAAAGATGTTTTGATTTATTTTGCTTAGACAAGCTCAGGAAAAATTCGTATAAGCATTTATTTTCTTTTTTTCTTTTCCTATTCCTCCCATCCTTCCCCACCCCCCCCACACACACACTAGCACACCTCCTCCTCCTTTTCGTTTTTTGAAACAGGGCTAGCCCGAAACTCACTGTCCTCCTGCCTCAGCCTCCAAAATGCTGGGATTGTAGGTGTACCTCACACACCCAGCTTTGTATAGCCATTTAAAACTGTCTTTTACCATATGGTGAGCATTTTTACAACAGAAAGGAAAACTGTCACAATGAAAGAAATAATCTTTAAAATACCATTGCCGGATATGCTGTGCTGAAGGCCCATTTCATGACAGTGGGCCCTTAGGGATTTGTTTGTGTTTTTTGTTTTGAACCAGCTTTATTAATACTGTTTACCAGTTGTCTTGCCTTAAGTCAATATGCATTTACTTTGTGCTTTTCAGCAGACAGCAATAACATGATTTCTCTACCATCATACAAATTGTGGTTCTGTTGCAAATTCTGTATGTCCCCACACCCTCACACCTTGCCCCTTTGTTTTCACATAGAATATGAATAATTCATGAGTGGGTGTTTCCTCCTGATGCAGTTTCTCAGGGGCCACTCAGAGCCATTCAAAACAGAGGAAGTGAGAGGCAATGGGTTAGGTGGGAGCAAGTTTGCTGCTTTCTGTTCCCTGGGGATTTAGCTCAGCCACGTAAGCACCTGCCTCGCAAGCAGGTGGTCAAGTGTAAAGTAGATCTGCTGTTGCTGTATTCTTTTTTTAAAAACTGAGAACTAAGACTCATAAACACAGTAACAGCCCCCAAACACAATACAGCCCCACTATGCATGTGTACTAGCGACTGCACACCCACATACATACACACACATGCACACACATGTGATTCTGTGGACTTTGAAACATTCTTCTATGAGAGATTCTCTTGAATCAGTGAGAGAAAAATGTCAAAACTTACATTTCATTTTCAATTAGAGTCCAAGTCCTAATGTGTTATTTTTACACGTTCATCTCTGAGCTATAAGCCACGAATCCTGTGGAGAGAGAAATTTTAATTTATCCTTAAATATTTTGTGTTGCCTGATCACATTTGGGCGAACTCCATATTTTCTTCCTCTCCGGCACTCAGTCCCTTCTGATGAGTTTCATAGCCTCCTATAGCAGTCACTTTGGGTAGAAAGAGTAACCAATGAGGCTGTGTGGCCATAGCTGGTTCATTACAATCCAGAGTTCTGGGTGGAAGCAGGAACATAGGAAGGTGGGGTAGAAGGGAGAGACCCTCACTTGCTAGCTAGGCTGATATGAAACAATCCCTGCAAATACACAGCAGAAGCTGCTTCCTGTGTCCACACTAATCTGCTGCCCCCTACTGCCCTGCCCTGTAAAAATGTGAATTTCAGCATTAGTAAGTACTTATCCAAGTTAGGGGAGCTTAGGACCTCAAAGTTCAAGTACACCTTATAATCTATTCCAATACCTTTTATAGAACAGAGTTATCATTTTAAAAAGCAATTTGCTGGTGACAGAGATGGGACTTACCATCTTAAAAACTCACTCTGACATTAAAAAAACTTCTTTTTGGTGATATTGTTTTCATTAATCAAAAATGTTGCAACATTCCTTAGAAAATTTCATTTATTTGATTCTGTTCACAGGCTATTCGTGATGTTTTTGGTGCCTTAACTACAAACACTTATCTAAGGTAACTATTTCATAGTTGTTTTAAAACATACCATATTAAGTATTAAATTACAGTGAAATGTAAATTTTTCAAATATATATGTGTATATTTTTCAAATATATATATGTATATATTAAACTTTACCATTATGACTAAAAATGAGATAGGAACCAAATTTAGATATTTTCTTTTTAAAAACTGTTGTTCATATGGATTTTTTTATTTTAACTTGTGTTGGAAATAGTTATTTGTGCGACTTAAAATTTAAATTGACTTATTATATCCCTAGAAATTAAAGTCAGTAAACAGAAGTAGGTTAAAGTTTTATTTTGGCCATTACTAATTTTTTAGCTTTTAAAGAAGGTATACTTTCTTATTTTGCTGAATATTGATGAATAGTCTTTTTGCTGTATATTGATTGTTAAATCCTGTGGAAGTTACCAGAATCAAGGCATAAGTAGATGGCAACAAAATATAACATGAATTATAAAATAAATCCACATAAATAAATTGCTATCGGAATAGGAAGCAAATTTTGAAGGCAGATTCCCTTTTGAGGAAAATATTATATCAAATTAGATTTTATAACTATAGTATGTCACTTGATTTTATTTAATGACCTTTGTTTTTCCAAATAGATTGAGATTTACAGAAAAATAGTGAAAATTGAACATAGTTTTCAGGAACCTCATATCCCATGCTTCTATTTTTAATTAGCAGTTTTGTGTGGATCTCACAAGAGCGGAGACCTTTCCAAAATAAGGATGATAACAGACCCACTGTACTTAGCTCTAGTCATATGGGGGCCAGAGCACCCTGAAAACAGTCACACAAGAAACATGACTGATCTGGGGTATTTAGTTGGTAACAGAAGGTTGAGCACATAGCACCAGGTTCAGGTATTTGACAAGTGTAATGAGGAAGAGGACAGGTGTAGGGGCCAATTCGTGAAAGGTCCTTCGCTCACAGCAAGGAAGTCTTTCTTCCCAATTGTGTACTTTGTGTGTGTGTGTGTGTGTGTGTGTGTGTGTGTGTGTGTGTGTGTGTGTATGTTTGTGTGTGTGTGTGCATGTACACACAGAGGAGCTTCCAAAGCACAAGTACATTCATCTATTCACAGAAAATCATGCATCTCTTTCCTAGGTGTGCTTCTCACAGGTACTATAAGCAACTCTGCAGGAATCATTCTACAAAACACAGCAAAATACAGTGGTGCCTTGGTTTACAAATTTAATTTGTTATATGATTTGGGGAAATATGGCTAGGTTTGTATTTCTGTGGGGAAGATGAATGTGATCATGTTTGTCATCTCATACAGAGTTTGCAAATAGAAGCAAAAGTTTGCCAAATGCTTTTGTTTGTGTACCAAATTGTTTGCAAATAAAGATGTTCAGGAAGTGAGATATTACTAAGATTTTAGTGAAATCATGTCCTTGTCACTCTGCAACTTAGTATTTTTTTATATAACAGTATGTTTTGGGCTCGTGCCTAGATCTTCATTTTATTTTGTAATAGTCTTCACATTATACTGTTCTTTATCATGAGGGACCACTGTGTATTTCCTCATTTCTTTATGTATGTATGTTTAGTTTATATAACTTTTGTAACAGTGAGCAATGTTTTGAGTAGTGAACATCCATGTGTGTGTGTGTGTGTTTGTACGTACACATGTAGTATAGAGTATTTGAAATGAAGCTGTTAGACCTTAAGATATGAACTTTCTACAGTCTTGTAAATGCACACCATTGCCATCAAACTTTTAACCTTCTCTGATACATTAAAAAAAATTAGCCCATTTTATAAGTTTTTGGCAGTGAAGTATTACATTTTTTAATCACTCTTCTGGTGATATTTCTTCTTGATTTTTTTAAGGTTTTTTAAGTTGGTATAGTTACATTTATCTATCTTGGTTTCTGTTACCTGTGCTTTTGGTGTCATATCCAAGAAAGCATATCCAAACATATCCAAACCTTTTCAAACTCTGCCCACAAGCCATTTCCAAAGCCTCTGGAAAAACATGGTCAGGTACAGTCAGAGCAAACGACCCCACTCCTGGTACCAAATTCTTAGTTATTTTTTACTCATCGCTGAGACAAAACACCTGATGCCCAAATTTGGGAAAGGAAAGGTTTATTTCTTATAGTTTTTGGAGGTTTTAGTCCATTCTCAGTTGGCTCCAAGGCAGAGTGGCATGGCAGGGCCACAGTTCATGGAAGCTACAAACAGCAAGGCAAAAATAGGCAAGAGAGAAAAGACACACCTTAATGGCAGGAGCCATTAAATTACATGCTGGCTCCACCCCTATGTAGGTGTAGCACTGACACCGTCAATCTAAGCTCTAGACAATAAACCAATCATAAGTGCATAATGGAAATGCATGAGGCCTGGGGGCCACCGACATAAACCATGACAGGGGTCCAGTTTTATTATGTAGATATAGATATATAGTTTTCTAACACCATATGCTGGAGACTACCCTTTCTCCTTATGTAACATTGGTAACTAGTTTCATTTATGTTTTTCTCTTATTATTTATTTGGTGTTCATTGATACTAATGTTGTTTTATAAATATTTACATATTTTGAAAAATACGAATTTTTATTGGGAGCTTGAAGTTATATGTTATATCATGTAGTTACTACTGAGCTAAGCTGTCTACCATACCAATTCTTTTACTGCTTTCTGTCGTATGTTCTCTGAATGTTACCTTCTATATAATATGAAGCATGTATTTTCTTTCAGTGTTTGGTTTAGATAGTGCTCTTGCTCATTCCATGATTGTTATAAGATGGTGCTTCTGATTATAAAAAGAATCATCTTCATGTTATTCCTTTTCTTTTGAATTCTCTCTTCTAGAATGTAATTATTGCCACAATCACATTTTGTAGTATTTACACTCTGTACCTTTATTATTCATTTTTAACCTTTGTGTGACATTTTGGTTTATGTGACTCCTTATTGGGCTACTTTTTTTTTTCAATTTAAGCTCCCCTAACACTTAGTTTTAAATTGGTGAACTTATTCCGCATTCATATCCACTGTTTTGGATTTGGATTTGCTCCTGCAATATGATTCTATATTTTCCATTCATCATGCATCTCAAAATAATTTTCTTAGCATTTACTGACTAGTTATCCATATTCCACTTCAAATTTACCATTGGTTTCATCTAAGTTATTAACTAGTATCTTTATATTGGTGCCAATAATTAACATCTGCCATAAAATGGTTATTATTTACTGTGTGTTTGGAGATCCATTAAGTTTGTTCTCTGTATTAACTCAATAAATCCTTATACCACCCTGAGAGAAAAGAGTCTGTTATCATTCTGTTGTTTACAGATGAGGAAACCTCAGCTTGGGGAAAGCATGTAATTTCTTCAAAGGTACTTCTTACTCCAGTGAAATACCAGAGGCAACCCACTTTAAAAAGCGAAAATGTTTACTTAACTCAGTTTTGTTCAAATTCCAGGATTGAGTGTGGACTTCTGTGTAAGGCAGCACATCATGGCAGAGGAGAGGGTATTGATAGGTGGTATTATCTTTACTCCTCATAGGACATTTTGATTTGAACATTTAAATCATTCTTCAGCTTTGGCGAATTTTGGTCTCATATTCTTTTACTTCAGCCTTTCTTCTATGACTTGTATTATTGCTTTTATTATCTCTTTCTCTGCTATGTTCTTAGAATCCCATGGCTGGGTTTTAATTTACAAATTTCACCTGTGTAATTTTGTTTTAAAAACAAATAAGGTTAAAACTCTATTTTGAGATTTCAAATTAGTTATATTTTCCCAGAATTTCTGCAAGCTTTTCTAATTATATGAATGTGATATCCTCTTAAACTTCACTGAAGATAATTGGAATTTTCATTTAACGTTCTTTATTTCTTCCTTTAATCCTGTTCCCTGAAAGCTTAGCATTTTTTGTTTCTTCAGCCTGGTGTTTAACTTTCTTGCCATTTTCATATTGCTTTTGCACATCTGGAATCAGTTGTTATATTTATTTCCATCAGTATTCACGGTAGGGGACATCCTTGGCAGTTATAATAGTTACTTCCCTCCTGGGCTGCTTCTGTGAATGTAGCTGCTCACTGCAGAGTTCTGCTGTGACTGGAAGCTTTCTGGAGCAGTGAGGCAACCTCCCTGGCTTGGCTGCATCAGTAGGCAAAGAGCTACCACAGAGCCAGGGTAGTGTGGTAATGCTACTGCTGTCCTGGGAGACTTTCCCCTCACCGCTCTTACTTAAATCTGCAGGTCTTTGTGCCATTGAATTTCTTCTGCATGTGACTTATTTCTCTCCCTGTTTTAGTTGCTTTTCTCAATGTTGAGACAAAATACTTAACATCCTAGAGTTGAAGGTTTATTTAGCTCACAGGTTGTACAGTTTTCAGCCCATAATCAGCTGGCTGACTCCAATGCAGGGTGGCACATGCCAGAGAGGCAGTAGTTCATGGTGGTGGAAGACAGCAAAGCAATGAGAAAGAGACAGAGTGGCGGGGGGGCTCTTTCTGTCCTTGTATTGTATGTGTCCTATCTGCCAGGATTAGGATGGTGCCAATCCAATCAGTGGATGGATGTAGCAATCACCCACCCTTAATCCCAGCACCCTCAATCCCAGCATTGGCCTGCAAATCAGTCACACACTCTGGATTCAGCCACCTCTGAAGAAAAAACACTATGACTGTGTGAGCTTTGAGGGGACATCTAGACACAAACAATAATACTCACCTACCACAAATTCATATTAGAAGACTTTTGTACCCTGTAAAAACTTTGCTAAAATACCCAGCAGAAGGACAAAATGTGTAGTCTCTTACCTCTTTTGTGAATCTAACATAAGCTCTATGAGGATAACAATGATATCTTAGAGCTCCAGTGGCGCAATCAGTTAGCACATGGTAATTATACAACAATGATATCTTATTTCTACTGCATTCGCCACACAGTGGTATACGTACTTCGTAAATCGGGATCACTTTTCTGGAACTAAAAATAAATAAATAAATATGTTTACCCGATAATTTTTCTTGTTGGGCATTGTCCTAATGAAATATTCCAAGATGCACAATGATTTATGTTGAAGGATATTCAAATGGTTTATAATTATGAAAAATCAAAATTACAGCAGCAGTATTCATCTACAGTGTTATATTTATTGTATATCTCTTGTATATGTAATAAAAGATCTATTCATTTATCCTTCCAGAGGTACAATCACCTCTGGAATTCAGTAAAAATCATTCTATCTTAACCACAGAATATTTTTTGACTAACTGTATTATTTTATTTTATTTTTTTGGTACTGGGTATTGAACTCAGGACCTTGCACTTACTAGGCTACTCATTTTTTTTCTCAGTCTCACTGTGTGTTTCAGGCTGGCCTTGAACTCACTGTGTAGCCCAGGCTGGCCTCAAACTTGCAGCAGTCCTCCTGCCTCTGCCTCCCTAGTACTGGGATTACAGGCGTGCACCATCATGCCCAACTTGATATACTTTAAATAGGATGACTGTAAATTATGCCTTTAAATGAATGAAAATTTTAGTGGTTTTACCTAATCTTTATTTATGCTAACTCCTTTACAGAAAATCAGGTATCAAAATGTAAGAATAAATGAAACTCTCTTACATAATCATACTGTGATGAGCATTCAGTAAATAGATAATATTTTTGTTTTATTCCAGAAAACAGCTCCTTGAACATGGTGAGGTAAAGGTTTCCTCATTTTCCTCTCCGGGAGGCTCCTGTTAAATTCTAGTTCAGAGATCACTTACGAGGGTGCTGCCTTGCTTGGGCTGCTGGGCACTGGTAATGCATTTCTGCTGAGCCTGCTCTGCAGTCTGCTCTCGCATTTGAACAGTAGGGATTTGGAAGCCAGTTTGCAAAATACAGAACAATTGCTGTTCGGAAATAACTCATCCTCCTCTATAATACCGTGCGCCTGCCTGTGTGCGTGTGTGTATGCAGATGTTTTCACATTGGTTTTGGTTTTTTTTACAGAATAAGTACTCTGCATATATGCAGTTTTATATCCTGGAACTTCTCCAGGCCATATATAATTTTTATTGGCTGTGTATTTGTGGAAATGTAGCAATTTATTTCTTGTTCCTGTTTATTAGTCACTTAGGCTGTTTCCTTTTTTTGCTATTAAATATACACTTCAGTGATCATCTTTGTAGTGAATCTCTATGTTTTGATTATTGTCTTAGATGAGTTTCTAGAATGGCAGTTTAAATCAAGGGAGTTGGCTGTTTCCCAGGCCCTGATAAATATTTTGAAATATAGCAATGCACCAATGTATTTTGTTAGTGCTTATTTTGTCTCTCTTAACATGCAGTATTAATCCTAACCTTATGAATGTGAATACCTCATTATCTTTAACATTTAATTTGAGTATTAGTGATTTAGAACATAAATATTTAGTTGCCATCTACTTTTTGTTTCGTTAGTTATTTTTGCTTATTTGTTGTCCCTTTTGCTTAGTTGAGTTAACATTTCATGAATGTTTGCTAGAGAAGTTTCCTTTGAAACCTTGCTCAGTAGAATTATCACCCAGAACAAAGTAGTGCACCCTGCTTATTAGTATAAGTATTTATATGTATGTCCTACTCCTTTTAAAATGATCATGTTCCTACGCTGCTGTCACTCCTGTCATCGACTGAGTGACCATTTGTGAGACAGTGGTCCTTCCCTATTTCTGTCCCGAGGCTTACTTCTCACATTGCACAAATCCTTGCCCAGATGTCACCTTTTCAGTGCAGTCCATGGAGACTGTCGTCCTACACTACAGCCCCCTGCCTGTGGCCCAGAGCACGTCCTGAAATCCTGGGCTCTTTGTCCTGCCCTCGGCTCTTTCCCCTGTCCCAGGCTCTTGACCATGCTCTCACCATCTGTACTGGGCTATAACGAGTTCATTTATTTACTGTGTCCACTTGTTGACAGTCCTTTCTAAACGTGCTGTCTCAGCCTCACAGGAGCAAAGTTGTTCAGAGTTTTATCTGATATGGATGTTCAGTGGATCTTTGTTGAGTAAATAAATGTTAACAGGCATAGTAATATTTTAGATCTTTACCCTAAAACTAATAATTTTGAAATAATTTGAATAATTGAAAGCTAATAATTTTCACATACATACTTTTTCATTGTGAAACACATGAAGTGAAAGTGTCATTTTGTCTTGTATTTTTATAGCTAGTTTTTCACACATTGCAGTTGTTAGCATTTGCAGCCCTTGCCATTTTGATTTTGAGGCTGAAGCTGTTTTTGACCCCGCACATGTGTGTTATGGCTTCCTTGATCTGCTCTCGACAGGTAAGGTGTCCATTGTTGTACAGCTGCACTGTGATAACTTAGCAAATACAGTATGGTTGCCGGGGCTTTGCTGAGTAATGCAAACGTTAGAGTACTGAGTGTTTTTAAGTTAGCTAACCTAAATTGTTTAAAATGACAGTTCATGACTCACTATTGAATATGTAACATGATGTCAGATGGCTTTTAAAGAATTCCTAGAGGGTAGCCAGTGTTTCTATGACAAGTAAAGAGACACTTTCCCCTCTATGGGTGTCCTATCCACAAACGCAATCTCCAAACTTTCAGAGCCACCTTGTGGTATTTGTGCAGTACTAAACAGATGCTGAGGAATTGCTCTTGGCTCAGAGAATCCTAAGGCAAGCTGTCTATTCTGTGATTCTCTTACTGTATCGAATGTACAAAGTAGCTAAATAAATTAGCTAGAGTGGTGTTATCTTGATAAGCACCTAAGTTTTGATTATGAGTGTGTCTGAAAATATCACATGCCTATTTTCCAGAGAGGAAATATACATATCAATGCTAATAGATTTTTTCCTAGTTAATCAAGATGTTCATTAAAGGCATCCACATGTTAAAGGATTGGTTCTAGGATATTTCAAAATTGTGATACTAATCTTGACTCCTAATTGTAAATTGGTGCTAGGATTAGATATTTCTGCCATAATTATTTTGAGAGGAGAAAAAGCACCATTTCACCTGGGCCCAGTAATTCAAACATATTCATTGTTCTTAAGCAAAAGAGGATGAGAATTATATGTATGTATTTGTAGAGAGCAAAGGGTAATATGCATTGGCTTGAGTAATAAGATGAGAATTTATTTTTGGCCTTAAAGCACTCTGTATAAAATTTTTAATGAAAGATTTTTTTTTTCTATTCAGCTCTTTGGCTGGCTTTTTTACAAGGTTCGTTTCGAGAATGTTATCTTTGGCATTTTAACAGTAATGTCAGTACAAGGTTGTATAAATCTCCAAAATCAGTGGAAAATAAAAGGAGAATTTATTAATTTGCCTCAGGAAGAACTTCTTCAGTGGATCAAGCACAATACGAGACCAGGTATGCAGCTGTTTAGTTATGTGTATCCCCACTTTTTTTCTCACCTCACCACATATGCATGCACACACACACACACACACACACACACACACATCGTTCTGTAGTGAGCATTCTGTGTGTATGTGCACGCACGGGTGTGTGTAGGTGGTCCTTGACTTATAGGAGTTAACTTACAATTTCTTGACTGTTTCTTGACTTTGTGTAGAAGCAGTATACGTTAAGTACAAGCTGTGCTTCAAATTTGATTGAGGATCTTTCCTAGGCTAGGCCTAGTAGTCTGTTGTGACTATGTTACCAGTATCTCATAAGTACTGTATTTTATGTTTTCCTTCAAAGTTGAGAATTCTTACTTACCCTAGAAAGTAAACATTCAGCATTTCACTAGATCTGAATAAAATGCTTGTTTTTAGTACTTGTTTTATTGTGCTGATTAAAAATGATCTTAACCTTCCTAATTATATGGACATTTATTATACAGAAGTACCAGGAAATAAGCATGTTGTCTTTTGGTCTTCCAGCTGACAAAATTGGAACTAAAGGCAGGTGGTATATTTTGATATGTTCTTAGTTATGACCAAATGCATGCATACCACTCAAAAAGTACCACTAATAAGTAATAAACTGGTAAAATTAGACATGTAAGCGATCTAGACTCAGACAGCAAATAAGAGAACACAGTGATGAGTACTTTCAGACCATCTGAAGGGAGATCACAATGTTCTCCTGGGGTACAGCCACAAGACCATATTCTTCACAACACACAGGGTCGTTTGAAGAAAATGCACCATGAGACTTGCCTTGCATCGCAGTCTCTCATTTCCTAGCACTGGAAATGCTTTACCCTCACAAGCTATGAAACATCTCTTCTCTCTACTCCTGTGTGTTGCTGACACAATAGGAGGCTGGCATCAAGGGGCCAAGAGACTGAGCTGTGCACCCTTATCTGTGCAGTCTTGGTGACTCACTTCACTTTGCTGTTTCTTCACCTACACAGCAAGGGAAGTGTAGCTCCCTTCAAAGAGGTGTGCAAGTGGAATCATTTAAGCCTTATGAAAATATTGAGCTTAGTTCCTGGTGTCAGTGTAACAAAAGTTAGCTATTAAGATGCCAAACAATGAGTAAATACTGAGTATAATGGTCCCTTTATTGTCCTCATCGTGTTTCAGGAATGTCTTAGTTACTTCTTGGTTACTTTTCTCTCATTGCTGAGACAAAATACCCAATACTCAAAGGAAAGATCTATTTCACTCACAGTTTGTGGAGGTTTCAGTCTATAACCAGCCAGCTCCAAGGCAGAGTGGCACAAGCAGAGGGCAACAGTTCATGGCTGTGGAAAATAGCACAAGCAACAAGAGCAAAAGGGGAAGAGCACAGACAAAAGACTCTTTCTGTCCCTTTTATTGTATGTAGGCCACACCTACTAGGGTGTAGCACTCACACTGATGATCCCAGCATTGGACCATGAGTCATTCACAAACTCTAGAAGCCTGCCGCATTACTATAAGAGGCTTTGGGGGACATTCAGACTCAGACCATAACAGGGAGATTTATATTTGTAATCCTATGGAAGTTACATGGAATTCTAGTGAGATAATTTCAATCTACCACTTCCAGTGCAACCCTTGGTGAGAATAAAGATATATATGTATGTATATACTGAGGATCAAATTCACAACCTCACACTTGCCAGGCAAGCACTTAAGCTGCTGAGTTAAATCCCAAGCTCCAATACTAATATCATTATGGATGGCCAAGGGGTCCTAAGACCAACCAGTATGAAGGTTCATTGAAACAAAGGCTTCCACCCAGGGCCTAACCTGAATTTTATTAATTCATGAAGAAGGGAGTGGCTAGAGGATGAGTGACTGTGAGAATGTCAGGAATTATATGAGTACTGTGAGCTGGGCTAGGCCAGAAAGCACCTCTGCCATATGCAGAGAGAAGGCTATACAGAAAGACCAATCTGCATAACACAATTGAAATAGCATTTACTGTTTTAGACAATGGTGCCTCAGCTCTGATGTTCAAACTTTTTCTGCCCTGGGAAGTCATAGTCTCTTATCTCAAGGCTCCAACCCAATTGACAGCCCTGGAGCAGTGGCTCTGCATCTCTCTGGGTTCAGTCATATTTAAGGGATGTTCCACTGGGGTGGGTTCCACTGGAGTGGGTGGAACAACAGTTGCCTTACTTCAAAGATTGTGCATCAGTACCTTAGGTAGCACTATTCACATTGCTTAGAGCAACTAAAGGGAAGAGGAGATAGCTTAGCCAGCTCTCTACATAACAGTGTGTGGAGATAAGGTTAGATTTAGCCAAAGCAGAGGTTATTGGTCTTTATTCAAAAAGAGTCATCCAGGTGGACCTCTACAACTGAGTGAATAAAAAGAATGATGTCAGTGGTGTTGATCTATCTGTCTATCTATCTATCTATCTACCTATCTATATCTACATCTACGGCTTCAGGGAGCAAACATAGGACCTTATATATGCAAGACAAGGGCTCTACCTCTGACACTCACCCAACGTCCCCATGGTTATGATTTAAATATTCTTCATCTCTCTTAATTTGTATTCTAGGACTATGGATAAATTGAACATTTGGTTTTCATGTTTTTCAGATGCTGTTTTCGCAGGTGCCATGCCAATAATGGCAAGCGTCAAGCTGTCCACGCTGCGCCCCATTGTGAACCACCCGCACTACGAGGATGCAGACCTGAGGTTGGCAACCACTGGCTGGTTCTTAGGAAAAGGGGATGTTTTCTCTCTCTCTCTCTCTCTCTCTCTCTCTCTCTTTCATCTTTGTTTGTTTTGGAGGCTTTAAAACATATATAGTAACCATCCAGGAGTGACTGTATGTACCTGTTTCCTCTGAAGAAATCCTAATGAATCTCAGAAAAGTGAAAAAAGCAAATCCTACTTTTTCTTAATGAAAAATGCATCATATATATGGCGGGAGAGAGCGAAAGAATGTGTTCTAGGAATATTCATAAGTAGAAGCGAGAAGGGGCTGGAGCCACCTGACTCAAAGCCTCTTCTGTAAACTCCACAAGTCCCTCTGCCTGATTTAAGAAACAGTCTAGATCTTAATGATGGCCAATGACTTTTTTTGCCAACAGTAGAAGAAGTTCATGAAATTTGCCATATTTCATGCTTTGATGAAAATTTAGGGTATTTTACTACATGAATATGAAAACTAGTTTATACAGAGGGCTAAAAGTTTTTTTTTTATCTTACATGACTAGTTTTTAAAAATCATTTTGATCATTCTGTTCTTAAGGTAATCTTTTCCTCTCTTGGGCTGTTGTTCAAGATAAATTTCTAAAGTTCTATGTCTCATTGTGGTCCCATGTGCTCCAAATATTAAGTAACACTTAACACACAAATGGTAATTTGTTCCGGATTTCATAAGAATTCCAGCTTAAGGCCACATCATCCATTTCCTGTACCATAGTTTAGTGACCACCTGTGAGTCTGTCAGGTGCTTTTTTATGTATATATTTATTTAATTTTTCTTTGTACTTCTGGGGATTGAATCCAGTGCCTGGTACATGGTAAGCAAGCATTTCCCACTGAGCCACATCCCCAGTGCTGTGAGGTGCTTTGTGTACCTGCTTCAACATTCTCAATGCCCACAGTGTACATATTCTATTTGCTATATTCAATTTCAGCTCACCTATTTTTCTGAATTTCTATCAGTGAAATTATCTACTGAAATCTGTCTTTTTTTTTAAATTTTATTTAAAAGGAAAAAGAGAAAAACAGAACAAAAAGTGGTGTAAGGGTACACGTAATACAGAACTACAAAAAAAAAAAAAGACAGTAAGAAATCACCAGTTAATAGATTACATATTATCATCTTAGAGATAGTTGCTCAAATCACAGTATCAAAGCATACAAAGTGGACATTCAAACAGTGAGACTGCAAACAGTTGTGTTCAATGATCCAATCAAAAACATTAATGTGGTCAGCTATTTAACACCCCTAAATACACTTGCTGTTGTATCCTTTAGAACTCTTTTTTTCCCTCTCTTTTTTACAACAAAATCCACACATTTTAGGTTTTATTACTCCTTAGTTCTTATTACTTTTTGCGGGGGGGGAGAATAAAGTCAAATATGGCAAAAAAAAGCTGTCAGTCAAAACCAAGGATAGACATAGCACATGATGTAAAACAGAGTACAAGGTTATCAACAATGGTTATCAACAATGTCTCTTGTTTCCTTAAAAAGAATTGTCTATCTCATTAGATATTATAAAGTTGAACAAAACAGTGGAGAACAAGACCAATAAAACTTAAGCATTGTAAACATTACACGACTTCCAAAGGAGACAATAGTCAAACCAGAATGGGCATCTTAGTGAATCTTATTGCCTTCAAAGTAGTTGCCTATACCCTCAAACTTGATACTATCATACAGAATGGAACAGAGTCTAGTCAGTCAAAACAAGATAGTGGGAGTATTACAGGACTTCAAAACAAGTTAATAGGAAATCAAAAAAAGTTACTATTATATATCCTGCTAATTTTTAAAATTTTTCCCCTTAATTAAAAAAAACCATAAAAAAACTGAATAATTTTTTTAATGAATAAGGGCGAGATTGAGATAAAAGAGGACATAACAATATAACAATACAGGTCAAAGCATGACTGTTTCAGCAACCTAGTGCTTCACCACCAAATAACACGACTTAATAGTAGTTACCATAGTGTCTGTCTTTTTCCTTGAAATATTGGAATAAAACTTCATATACTATAGCTTCAAATATTTCCATATCAAGAAGCCCAGAATAAAGCCTTTCCAATTAATAAGTGAAAACTTTATAAGGCTTCAAGTCCACATAATGGGGAATCATGATTACCACATATTTTTATATATTTGAATCATTACTTACATTAGGGAAACTATTCGGTATTCACACATGCGAGATTGATTTATTTCACTTATGAGTATGGTCTCAAGCTGCACCCATTTATTGATAAATATCTCAACGTGATCCTTCTTTATAGCTGAATAATACTCCATTGTATAGAAATACCACAACTTTTTTATCCATTCCTCAGTTGATGGACACTTGGGTTGTTTCCAAGATCTGGCGATTACAAACTGTGCTGCTATAAACATAGGTGCACATATATCACTATGGTATGATGCTTTCAGTTCTTCTGGGAGTATGCCTAGAAATGGAATAGCTGGAATAAATGGTACTTCCAATCCCAGGTTTTTGAGAAATCTCCAGACTGACCTCCACAAAGGCTGCACCAGTCTACACTCCCACCAACAGTGCAGGAGAGTTCCTTTTTCCCCACAGCCTCTCCAGCGTTTGTTGTTGTTGGTTTTCTTGATCCTGGCCATTCTTTCAGGAGTGAGATGGTATCTCAGTGTGGTTTTAATTTGCATTTCTCTAATGACCAATGATGATGAACAATTTTTCATGTATTTATTTGCCATTTGCATTTCTTCATCTGAGAAGTGCGTATTCATCTCAGATGCCCATTTTTGGATTGGATCTATGAATTTTGGGGGTCTGAGTTTTTTTAATTCTTTATATGTTTTAGACAAGAGTCCCTTGTCTGAGAGAGAGTTCACTACAATCTTTTCCCAGTTTGTGGGTTTTCTTTTCACTATGCTGGAGATTTCTTTTGACATGCAGAAACTTTTTAATAAGAAGTGGTCCCAGTTATTGATTCTGGGAAGTATTTCCTGTGCGGTTTGAGTCCTGTTCATGAATTCTCTACCTACTCCTATGTCTTCAAGGTTTCTACCCAATTTGTCTTCCAATAGATTTAGTGTTTCTGTTTTAATATTCAGATCTTTGACCCATTTAGATTTTAATTTAGTACATGGGGATAGACATGGGTCTAGCTTTAGTTTTCGGCAAATGGAGAGCCAGTTTTTCCAGCACCATTTATTAAAGAGACTGTCGTTCTTCCAGTGAACCTGCTTGGCTCCTTTATCAAAGATAAGGTGGTTGAGTGTGTTTCTAGTTGTGGTTGTATCTTCTAATCTATTCCATTGATCTTCACCTCTGTTTTGATTCCAATACCATGTTGATTTTACTACTGTTGCTTTGTAGTATAACTTCAAGTCAGGTATTGTGATGCCTCCTGCTTTGTCTTTGCTGCTTAGAATTGCCTTTGCTATTCTAGGTCTCTTCTGGTTCCAGATGAAATTTAGGAGTGATTTCTCTAGATCTATAAGGTATGTTGACGGTATTTCTATTGGGATTGCATTGAATCTGTACAACAGTTTTGGGAGAATGGCCATCTTCACAATGTTTGTTCTTCCTATCCATGAGCAAGGGATGTCTTTCTATTTTCTGAGATCATCCTCAATTTCCTTTTTCAGTGTATTATAATTTTCACTGTATAAGTCTTTCACTTCTTTTGTAAGAGTAATTCCTAAATATTTCATTTTTTTGCTTGCTAATGTGAAGAGTGCAGTTTCTCTTATTTCCCTCTCTGTGATTTTGTTGTTCGTGTATAGGAATGCTATTGATTTCTGAGTATTGATTTTGTATCCAGCCACATTACTGAATTTATTTATTGTATCTAAGAGTCTTTCAATGGAGTTTAGGGGGTCTTCTATGTAGAGTATCATGTCATCTGCAAACAATGATAATTTAACTTCTTCTTTTCCTATCTTTACCCCTTTTATTTCTCTTTCTTGCCTAATTGCTCTGGCTAGTACTTCCAGTACTATATTAAATAAGAGTGGTGATAAAGGACATCCTTGTCTTGTGCCTGATTTTAAAGTAAAGGCTTTCAATTTTTGGCCATTTAGTATGATGCTGGCCGTTGGTTTGTCATAAATGGCCTTTATTATATTGAGGTAAAGACCATCTATTCCAATTTTCTGTAAAGTTCTTATCATGAATAAATGTTGGACCTTATCGAAGGCTTTTTCTGCATCTATAGAAATGATCATGTGATTCTTATTTTTGGCTTTATTGATATGGTGGATTACATTTATTGATTTGCATATGTTGAACCATCCTTGCATTCCTGGGATGAATCCCACTTGGTCATGGTGTATAATCTTCTTGATGATTTGCTGCATCCTATTTGCCAATATTTTATTGAGGATTTTTGTATCTGTGTTCATTAGGGAGATCGGTCTATAGTTCTCTTTTTTAGTTGGGTCTTTCTCAGGTTTTGATACTAAAGTAATATTTGCTTCCAGGAATGACTTAGGAAGGATTGCTTCCCTTTCAATTTCATTGAATAGTTTGAGGAGTGTCAGCATTAGGTCTTCTTTGTATTTCTTGTAGAATTCTGCAGTGAATCCATCTGGGCCTGGGCTCTTCTTGGTGGGTAAGGACTTAATTACATTTTCAATTTCATTAACAGAGATTGGGTTATTCAACAGTTTTACATCCTCTTGATCTAGCTTTGGTACTTCATATGTTTCTAAGAATCTGTATTTCTTCTGTGTTATCAAACTTTTGAGAGTAGAAGTTTTCGAAATAGGTGTTGATGATCTTCTGTATTTCTATTGGGTCTGTAGTGATTTCACCTTTTTCATTTCTTATTGCATGAATTTGAGCTTTTTCTTCCCTTTTTTTAATAAGGTTGGCTAGGGGCTTATCAATTTTATTTATTCTTTCAAAGAACCAACTCTTTGATTCATTGATTCTTTGGATGGTTTTCTTAGTCTCTATTGCATTGATTTCTGCTCTGATTTTTATAATTTCCTCTCTTCTTTTGGCTTTGGGGTTG